CCAGAGAAGACTGTGAAATCCACAGCTGTTAAAACCTTTCAATTCCGGAAAAGCTGCCTGCAAGAGACAGGGTAAGGCAGGTAAGGCATTTATTGCTCTCTGCTGGGGAACACAGATGCTTTTGTGCTGAATGAGCAGAGCCTCTACAAAAAGTAATTCTCTCCTGATAGCATGACCCTTTCTGGGGCCCATCAGACTCTCTTATTCATTTACAAGAAAATCTCCTGCTTCTCTTTTCTCAGACCCACCACCTTCATAATGCCCAGTTCTAGTCACAAGGCTAACAACAGCCACCCACCACAGAGGAGTGAGCTCTGCTACCTGGCATGCCTGAGGGGGTAAGAAGCCATAAGGATGTGAGATACTGCATAACATCATAAATCTTACAGTTTGGGAGGCCAGAAGTGGATCTCAGCAAAGGTTTTGAGATTTATCCAGACCAGCCATAGCTCTGCAATTGCTATGAGTGTCTATGGGGGGAAAAAGTGTGTATCTCAAACACATCAGCGAATTAAAAAGATACAGTTCCCATTCTCCAGAATCTGCCAGGGGAATACGACAAAACAAGTCTGAGACAAGAGAAAGTACATTTTCCTCTGTCCTCTGGTGATATTGTGGTCTCCTTTTTTCAAGCCACTTTGGTAAGCTTGATGTCCCCTGAGATCCGCAAAGCTTTCACCAAGCTCAGAGGCTGAATGCGGTGAGTGAAGTCACAGAGCTGCCGTCCATCAAGCAAGACTCGTATTTGCTGGTGTTCACATAGGAGCTCCATCTGCAGTGGAAAAGGACAGGGAAGGGTGTTAGAGATAGCAGCAGGACTGATTTCAACAGATTTCTTCTGAGATGATACTGCAAAGCTCTAGTGGGTACTCTCACTATGATTAGAGAAAGGGATGCATCTTTCCCATCAGGACTTGAACTGTTGCTGTCTGTGCCATACTAGACTAGTTAACCTGGCAATGTCAGTGGCTGGCTGTTTGTGATCATATACATAGCCTTCAGTTTTTCTCCCCTCCTTTTCTCTACCCTATTCAGAGTGCCTGAAAAATTACCTTGAACGTGTCGCCTGCTGTAAATGGAAAATAGGGAATAGTCTTCTCTTCTCTTCCCCATTTCCCAGCAATTCGTGCATTTCGGGTGATGGATTTCTCACTGAAGTTAACGGTAAATAACAGCCCAATGTCTTTGTTGACATCCACTGGATCACAGAGCAGAGTCACTGAAAAGCTGAAAAAAATCTATGAAATGACTGGAACTTTCAAATATGACAGGACATGGTGAACATGACAGATGCTTATAGAGACTAGAGACAGCTGTTGGTTTCATGTCAGACTGAAACACAGGACTTAGAAACTGGAGAAAGGGATGAGACCCAGCTGGTCTTTGTTTCCTTCCCCAGTGTCCAGTAGAATGCTAGTGATTTCTGATGTTGCTTTCCCTTTGTCTTGACTGAAATGAAACCCTTCAACATGTACTCATTTGTGTCCTAAAAAAGCTTATGGCATACTCTTCACCAGTGGAAGCAGTGGAGTTGATAGCTGTAGTGCAAAAAAGTGTAACGATCATAGTTGCTGTTATCCAGATAAAAGACAGCAATGAACCTCTACCTCCTGTGCCAAAACTGGTTTTTAAATGGTGTTGATTCCAACCCCCCACAGACAACCAAAATTCAAGAATTGAATCAGATGAGAATTACACCTCTTCCTGGAGAAGAAATGCCACTTGTGTGTTCCCTCCAGTTCACATTAGATAAGGGCAAGGAGTAGAAAATCTTGTCAGGGCAGTCAGAAAGGCCAAATGGTGAACTCCTCCCTGACCTTTTAATCTTAGACTGAGTGCAAGAAAATTAAATAAGGCCATAAATTGTTAATCTGTTTGACTTTCTTCCTTCAAAGAGCACATACGTCCAAGAAAGTGTCTCAATTCAGAAGGAGGTAGGAGCATGTATATCAGGGTGAAGCCCCCAGTAGTCTTTTCACCTACCTCTTGGGTTTGGAGTGTACCATGCCTATGATTGTGAGTTTCATGGTTGGTCTCAGGCCACCTTTAATTTCACCAACATACTGCTCCACCTGCAGGGAACAGTGAAAATGGCTGCAGTGGGTCATGCTGTGGGTAAAACAGTTTTAACAGCTGCTTTGATCACCTGATATAACTTGGGTTTATTTTTATATGTACAAAAGAAAAGTATTTCCAGCTCAAAGTACTTATGGCACTCTAGTGACACAATAAATCTGGTAAGAGCACTGCAGTTGTTCTGGTTGCAGCAGATGAGAAGCTTTGTGGCAGCACGATGTGTGGCACAGACTCTGCTTGAACCTACTCTGTCCTGCCACCTCAAATTTGCTACCAGATTTTGGTGGGCTAACTTGGCACCATCAGGCTTACACCAGGCCAGGCAGCCCCTGTCCTCCACTGTAAAAGCAGTGTAGATGCTGCCCTGCCACTGCATATTGACCACATCCTCCCAGTCCTTCTGTGACAGTGACTTTGAAAAGTCACACTTTTTCAGAGGCAAAAAATGGCTTCTTGGTGGATCTACGTTTGTCCTGTTCACAGAGACCTTTGGTTGCAAGCTGCACCCAAAGATTTGAGCTACAATTACTTTTTCCAAGCAATTCTCTAACAGAGATGGTCAGTGGAGGAACTAATACAGGCCATAGCTGACATGGAAATATTAAAGACAGAGACTTTGGAAACAATTGATAGAGATGTTTTGACCTTCATTTTCAGAAATTGCTTTAAAATGTAAATGTCAGAATACCACACTGCAGCATGTAACCATTCCCTATGCAGATTCACTTAGAAAGAAGCTGCTGTAAACCACTAAATGTTATTGGCAACTTGCGCAACACTGATAATACTCCAAGGCAATGCACAGCAGACTCTGTTTGAGATAAAAAGAGCTTTATCGTTCCAGTGTTCCAAGGTAAAAACTCAGGCAGTTTTGCTAGAAGACCTGCACAATATATGCACAAGTTGAAGATAAAAAATGTTTTGCCTGTACCTCATTTCCTAATTTTATTATACTAGTTGTATCTTCTGCTAAGATGACCTTATACAATTTATTTTCCCACTTTGATATTCTCATCCAGCTACCTTTAGAGCTTCACAGATATATTAATAAACCTCTAATTCCTAACAAGGTCAATATTGGAAGTATAATTTTGAAATTTACCTTCAAAAATGACAGCAGTACTATTAATTGCTAAGACTGTAAATTTACTCTTGCAGGAGTGTACAGATGGCTCCAGCAAGTATGTTTTGAACTTCGTAACGAAAGAAATGCATCAAGCACTTGATATGTCTTATATAAGGAAACTGGTTGTCAAGTAAACAATCTGACTCTAGGGAGATAAACTGAATAAAGCAATTAGAAAGTAGGTAACAAGCATTAAAGATCTCAGGATAAATGAAGTTCATGCTCATACACGTCTCATGTCCCATTGAAGCTTCTTCCTTGCCTAGAGATAAGGTATGAAATACTATCCCAAACTGAAAATGCACATTGCAAAATTGTTAGTGCAGAGGTGCACCATAATAAGTACCATCACTAAAGGCACAGGGTATCAGAACTGAATAGAACAAATGACGACCAAATGGTCTCAACAGTACAGCTCATCCAGCGTGGCTGGAGAAAATTCGGAGGCGTGACTGCCCACACACCATTTATCTGTGGACACCTAGTTAACCGTACAGCTGAGAAATACTCAGGAGGCTGTAGGAAGTAATGGTAGAAACTCCTGCAAGCTTCTTGCAGAGGTCATTGGTGGTCCCAGCATATGCACATGGGCACAGCTCCCATCCCGTATTTTCCATTCAGCAGCCCTGGGGACTGGCTCCGTCACTTACTTTGGCACACCTCTCCTCTGTCATCACCGCTCTCCCTCTTACACTTGCCTCGCCGCTGCAGTCCCGGAGGAATTTTTGTTTTGTGTGTCAGGACAAAAGCAAACAAAAAGCCCGGAATAAAGGGAGGATGTTGAGGGGGGGTCTTATCTCTGCCGAACAGTGGCCGGACACCACCCAGCGCAGTGGCTGAGTCACGGCGCTCTGCGCCTCGAACCTCTGGGGGAGGCTCACAAACAACGCGCTGTGAGCGCAGGGGGTGCCCGCTGCTGGGCCTACACATTGTTATACGAGTATTGAGAATTCCGGGTGAGCGTGCATGACGTACTCGTAAGGTACTCTGTATAAGCATACAAACCCCGCATCATATATTTATTGATACCAACTCTCTCTTCTCTCAAAGGCATAATTACATATGTGTAAATATATATACACAAAATTTACAGCCTTATATACACCTACATATTAGCCTGTACACCCTATATGTACACCTATACATACTGTATACGCTGTAGATGTGTATATCTATTTATATGTCAAGAGATTTGTATGAATATATATATGTATGTATGTATATGTATAGCAGAGTGAATTATATGTACAGGGTTATACAGCTATACAGGTGGTACATATATCCCACACACGTATGAACGTGTGTATGTAGGTGTACATACACGCACACACACACCCGCAGCCGGCCACACCGACCCCGCCGTCTGAGCCACGCCCCCTCCCTCACGGACCTCCGCGTCCTCACAGGGGGCGGAGCTTCGGGCGAGAGCCAATCAGAGCCTCGCGAGGCACCACCGAGGGGAGGGGCGGGTACGTGGGGCGGGGAGTGGGCGTGGTTAAAGGGGCGGAGCTTGCCCTGCCCGGCCTCCCTCGGCGGCGTCAGGCGCCCCAAACAAACATGGCGGTTTATTTACATTCCGCCCCGGCTCGGCCAATGGGAGGGCGCCTTGCCCGCGTGCCCGGCCGGCGGCGCGGTCAGCTGAGGCGGTGCCCAAGATGGCGGCGCCGGGGGGCTGCGCTGCCGGGGCGGTGCTGTAGCGCCCAACGCCGCTGGGGCCGCGCCCTGCCCCGCCAGGGAGCCCGGCATCGCGGCATCGTGTGTGTCACCCCGTTCTGGGTCATCCCCTCGTCCTGGGAAGATGTATTCTTTTGGGAACGAAGAAGCGGACTCTCTGGAGCGTCTCTTCGGGTTTTTCTGTGAGTGTGTACGGCGTGGGCACTGGGAGCTTGCACAGGCCTGCGTGCCCCAGCTGAGCCAGTGGCACGGGGACGGCCCTGGGAAGGTGGAGGCAATTCTTGAGGCTCTGGTAGCTTGCCCCGTGGGGGTAAGGTAAGTGAGATACTGCTCTGGTTCCATAGACTTGAATGTGAAGTGGGGGGGAGCAGTTAGCTTGGTGTTGGCTGTGGGAGACAGGCAGAATCAGGGAAGTAGCACTTCAGTGCTGAGGTGTCTTGTGATGCTGTTATTTGAACTTTGATGTCTTATCACTGACCAAGAATGCAGCAGGCTGCCCATCCCACCGGGATAACGGGTTTTGTTCATTCATGTAGCTGATATGGTGATTGATACAAGCTTAAAACTACCTGTAGGTATTTTAGAACTGATCTTGTTAGATTTTACTGAAGGAAAACGACCATGTCCTGAAATTACATTTATTTGAATCTGAGCTTCGGTTAATTTGGAAATGGAATCACCAAGATCAGCGGTGTAGTTATTTAAAATGTTATCTTGTTTCCCACTCTTGAAAAATCTCCTAATTTCTAAAACTGCAATTCTAAAAAATTCAAATTATGCTGCTGATTTCTTGTTTCTCTCACACTGTATTTTAGAATTGCATCAGTTTTACTCAATCCCAGTTACTTTTTATCTCATACTTTTTCTTTTTTCAGTTAGGCGTATATGAAGAGTGACTTTCTAGCACTTTAGGGAACATTGGTATTGCCCCTGTCTAACCAGATGATCATACTTCTTCACATTAAAGTTTGTGTACCATTTCAGTAAAGGTTCTGGGAAACAGTTTACACTGACAGCAGCTGAAGGAGTCTGGAGGAAGATGTGCTCATGGTTAGATGAATATGGCTAACACCCACATGAGACATAAGCCTTTTCAATCTCTTGATCTTTGATAACTGGACTATCACATTTAAAGATTTTAGTTAGTAGTGCTGAGATTTTTAAAGGGCAGGAAACTATATTGTGCTTTCTCCTTTTCCTAGTCCCTTTGACGGTACTGACTATGTTCCTAACTGTGTAGGCTTTTGGGATGTTGAAGTACAGGAGCACGTGGAATGCTGATGGAAATTAGAAGGATTCTTTATTTAATTGGTACATTGCTTCACTTTTAATTTGGATACAGAGCTGCATTTGGGCTTCTGTGACCTAAGATTTAGTTTCATTTTTTTGGGTAGATATAGGCAAAACAGGAAATAGCACTGTTTGGCAAGTGGTCACATTTCAGTGAAATCTGCTGAAGTGCTCAAAGAGAGCTATACACACTGAACTTTAGACCAGAACTAGATTTCTTTGTTTTGAGGAGCTATGCCAGTAGTATTTAGCCGATCTAAAAGCAGTTATTTGCACAGCAGAAATCACTGAATTGATGTGCAAGAACACTAATATTCTAGTTTCTTTGCATTTTTTTCCTTTGTCTTTGGCTACTTACTTGTCTTTGTTTTTCTCTTGTTTACTCAAAGAAATACAAAATCAAAATGACCTCTGGATCTTGGTGATACAGACAACCTTGTATAATCCACTGTACATGCTTCTTGCCTTTGTAGATGGGGACAGAATTCTAGCCCATGGAGAACTGCATGGCTTTGGCTTCTTGTGCTGGAAAAATGGCTTGCCAGGAATCAGGTACAGAAACGTCTTGATGACTTCCAAATGCACTTTATAGCTCTGACTTCCAAGTGCACAATATCTCCCTAGTTGCTCATTTAAATGTAGGCTTTCCCACATTTCATGGAATTAAGTTCTCAAGGTATCTGGAGACATGCACTGCTTTTGCATTTAACAGATTTATCAAGAAAGAACTATAATATTCACACTGAAGAGAAAAACTAGAATTTTTAAAAAATATATTAGAAGCTAACATTTTAGCTTTTCACATTCATATAAATGAAAATCATGAGTGTATCAACTTCTGCATTTGTGTAACACCTCTCTTACATTAAAGATGAAATAGCTCAGGCATCAGACAATTCTTTATAAACTTTAGATGGTGAGGGATGTGCACACTTCTTTTTAAAAGTCACTTGTCCTTGGCACTACTTAGACTTGCATTTTTTATTTACATTCTTAGAAATCGGTGATTTTGTGATTCTTGATGAGGTCTCTGTTTCCAAATGTATGGATAAATAAAATCAACTGGTGTGAGAGTAGAACCTGACTGGAATAGCCTTTAATTGAGGATTAGGTTACTTCAGAGAGATATTTTAGTCTGCCTCGAAGTGCTAATGAAATAACTATGATTATGGTTATATGCTAATGTAAATAAAAGTTTTATTAGCTAATGTATTTTCCATTCTTACACGGTTTCAGAAACCTCTTCCAGTTGTTCTTCAGAGAGAAACTGAATTTTTATTGTTCTTGGAAGAACTACAGAAAGATGTCTCTGAGGAAGTCCTAAAGGTGAGCTACTTTATGCCCTATTCCTTCTTGTTCTGCAGTATGCCCAGCTTCATCAGATCGAAGTTAATGTTTCCTGCTAACTGCCTGAGATGTTAATGTGTTATTAATCTTCTAGGCAAGTGAGAGAGAGTGTAATTCAGATTCCTTTGTGAAGTTAATCCAATGTGCCTGCAAGTGATTTCTCTGGCTAGAGTGGAGGCTGCAGGCAGGCAAGGATCAGGTTTTTCTACATGCCTTTTCTAGCACACATCAGTCCTGACTGCAGCTGCTTACCGCAGTCTTCAGTCCACAGACACCTGTAATTATCATAAACCTACAACCTGCTGTGAGCCAAAATAAACTATAGTCAATAAGCACATTTTTAAAGTATGTGTATTTTCTTTTTCTTTCTTCAGAGATTTTAATTTTCATCTCCTATGCACCCCCTTTCCCTCTTTCTGAAAGTTTTTGGATATTCTGCTATTACTGCTGACATTTCCTAGGGATTGGTATGATGTGTGTTCTGAAGTCCAGGATCCAGTTTCCATTATTAATTAAAAGATGCAGGCTGATTTATTTGAGAAGCGTGTGGAAATATGCAAGGATGGATTTATATGAAAAGCAACTAGAGGGCAGAATATCAGCAAAGTTACTAACAGAACTGTCCTAATTTGATGTTAGTTACAAAAGCTTCAAATTTGATGTGGTGTATGAAATGTCATAAGAAGTTGCTTCTAGTCCTATAGATTCTAACTCCTTAAAGATATTCTTTTTTAGTTTGTCCATTTTTTAAGAGGGAAATGAAAATTTACTGTATTCAGGGGCTATTTCAGCTTAGGGAACGTTGTTCAGTATTTCACTAAGGATACAGAATTAGCAATTACAGGATGAAAACAAGCAAGGTGAACTTGAATGTTGATTAAAATAAATCTGCTTGAAGTCTGTTAATGAATAATGAAGTCTGTGCATGTTACGGTCTCACCTCCGAGGTCATGAATGATTCCACCGTTGTCCATACTGTCCACCAGTGTTGCACAGAAACGAGAGATTCAAAAATCTCGTATTTTTGTCACAATTTCTGTCAGAGGCATGTTGGTAGGTAGAGTTAGATTTTGATCCAGCAAGTAATATTTTAAAAAAAGGTATTGTGGACTTGCTTTCTCTTGTCATTCTTTGTGCACACCAACCACCTCTCCCCCGTGTAATCTCTGAGGTGTCTCTGAGCCAAGGACAGCACTCACATAAGTCCAGGAGTACCAAAAGTGCTGCTTGAGTGCTGTTCAACTGGCTTGTCCCTCACCTTCCCAGCTCTTACTGGGTGGGCTAATTGGGAATTTTTGTTTATTGTTTTCCCCTTCCTAGTTCTGAAATTGTAGGTTTGCATCTGATAGGTAGAAAAATTTTTGGTACTTAAGAAAGGTCTTTGAGACGGCTTCTGAATCTGTTGATCAGTTTTAATCAGATTTGAAAAATTGATGAGGATGATACAGTTGGTAGATAGATGGTACAACTCTGGAAAAGTAGGATGAAAAACCCTGCCACCAGTCATTATGCTCTTAGTCACCTGTGGAGATACAGTTACATTAGGATATTGCGTAGAGGTAGAATATGGCTGTGCTTCAGTCATCCCATAGGAGCTGCTGTGGTTCCTTGCTTGTATATGTTCCTTATAATGTACCTGTGTTTTACAGGATTCTTTGTATTTTGTTACATATTCAGGCATATCTACTCTTCTAATAAAGATAATGGACAAGGTGGACCATTATTAATGGATTTCTTAGGTAGTATGGTGCTTCCAAATTGATTTATTTGCTTGCTTTCAAATGTTTTCTATGTTTTTAAATAATTCATGTCATATATTAATGTAGTCTAAAAGGCTTATTACTCTTTTATCATTTCCCTGCCAGGAACTGTTTGAAGCATTTGAGTGCACGCAGAACAAGCACATCACAGACAGCAAAAGAAGAGATGACTGTTCTCACAAATTCAGTTTGGATGTTGTTTCAGCTCTCCGGAAGCTTTTACTGCGGGCTCCCCAGAGGGCAAAAGCCCTGCTGGAGTTCTTCCAGAGGGAACAAGGCACACACAGCTCCTCACTCCAGCAATATCGCTCTCTACAAAACATCTTTGTTGAGTTTCTTTGTGACTCCTTGAAATCTCTGCAGAGGCTTCAGAGCGGTTCTGAGCTTTCAGCTGAACTAGATCAAAGAGAACTGGTAGATACAATTTATGCTGCTCTCAGTATAGTGACTTTTGAGGTGGAGCATCAAGCAGATGAAATAAAGCACTTATTCAGGGAGCTCTTGGATGTATGCTGGGCTGAGGGCAGCCCACTGAGAGAAGAGAAGCTACTAAACTGTACGCTGAGGAAACAGAGCCATTGCCTGCTAAGCCTCTATAGCAGCGTTCTCATAGAAAGAACAAGAGAAAAGTTTTTGTTGTCAAAATCAACACAAAAAGGTTTGTTTCACTTTTTGCTTTCTACTAATCTCCTGTTTAACAAAACCATTAAGACATTAAACAGATAAGTAGTTAAGAACTCAGGCAATGCTCTTGCCGAGGTGCCTTAACAAACCATGGAGTCTTTAGAAAGGTGATGCTAAAATGATCCATAAAGCAAGGAATTGGCATAGGAACACAGGTTCTCTCCCTTACATTTCTGCAGTCTATGCTGTGTTTTGGGACCACTGCCTTTACCACGCCTTATTGTGCTCTGTTTTAATCTGCTCAGCATTTCTCTTGATGAAAATCTTGTTTGTAACTAGAAGTTTGATACTCCATATGTATACATTTTTTATTCGTTCACCTCCAGCTCAGGGTTGTCTGTGTTAGAGTATGTTCCATTTCTGGCCAGTAACAGTTCAATCACCTCAGTAATCCCAAAATGTTCAAACCCCTTAATAGTGGAAAAGAAAATTTATGAAAGTGGAAGGAGCTATGGAGAAGGGTGATATCCCAGTAGGAGAGAAAATGCACTTTGATTACCTACTCACTTGCCAGAGCCCAGCTGTGGTTTTGTTCCAACCATGACTTCACAGCCTCTGTCTAGCTCCCTTTGACCAGTACATTTAGTTGTAACTCAATGATCCTGATGGTCCCTTCCAGCTCAGCATATCCTGTGATTCTGTGTGGATCTCAGCTGAAGCTAAATGGCAAGTGATGCCCAGTAAAGTGGTAAGGAGGGAAAAGCTAGGATGCCTACCTTCTTTTGCTCACCTCTAGTCCTTGAGGTGTAAGTCAGTGGGGTTTGTATCCTCACTTCTTTCACTCAGGGATGGCTGAAGTGAAGTTCAGGCTGGTGTGGCAGACTCTAGAAATTCTGATAATAGCTACAGTTAGTGCTTCCTCGTGGGGAAAGATAAATGGAGATCCACATACCTTCACTCTCATTAGGAGTAGTTTGGGTCTCACTTTGCACAGATCTGAGAAGTTCCCGTGCTGGACAAGTCTTTGCTAAGGTCCTGCAAAGTAGCACAGTGTCTGAAACATAAGTGAGAATTCATGGAATTCATAGATAAGGGTATGCATGGCTAAAGAAAGGCAGTGTGACCTGAGCTGGTGCAAACAACATGTGCTGAGCAGGCTTTTGCCATGTTAATGATTGTCGATACAGTTTTTCTGGTTGTCTGTCTGACCTCTATCAAATTTCTTTGCTTGGTCTTCCTTTTACCCAGTAACAGTATTGAAGAGTCTTAGCTAGTAACATGTAACAGCTGGTTAGTGCTTGAGGAAATACTGTTTCTCAGTTTAAAATAATAGAGATTATGCTTCTCTAAAAGGTACCCCTTTCTACTGGAAGGTAATCTTGTTGTGATCTTTTTAGGTTCATCTGAGCAGCTGGATACAGAGCGAACTGTGATGAGTTTGTTCTCAGATCCCAAAGAAGCTCCTTCTTGGAAGACAGTCTATTTCTACTGCTTGAGCAGCAGCAAACACTTTCTGGAACAGATTCTGGTACAGCCATAAAATCATTAACAGGGAAACCCAATGGAGGCTAAAGTCAGTCCCTGTGTTGAACGTATCTCGGTGGTGCACAGAAGCATTTTGTATTCAAATAGTGTTTGCCAGGGATGATGACTAATAGCAGCAAGGAGGTAATGGTGATAACATCCCTACTTGCAGCAGTGCAATGAACATAAAACTACTGGTGAGATTTTTGGAAGAGCTCATCTGCATGCAGACTAAAGATTAAATCTTCAGGGTTTAAGAAGTCTCATTTTCTGCTTGTGGTTTTGTTGGACACACCATTTGCCTCATGATCTTGAACTTGTTGCTTTCTGATTCTGGTAGACTTGAGGCAGTGAGACTAGTTTGCACGGTAAAATCTGTGGTGAAAATAGTATTTTATTAATAAATTGATTTTTATGTAGGTACGTAGAAGAAATAGAATACAGGCAGGTGGTCACTGTTAAAGTGTGAGGTTCTAAGGTTGAGCACCTTTCAACTTCTGCATAATGTGCTTGTAGAAATCTTTTGCATGATGTAATGAATAGAGGGAATGCCAAGGTAATGTAGAGTGGAATGTGAGTTGGCTTTGCAGTAAGCATTTGAAATGGTGTTTTTTTTCTTCCAAGACATGTTTACTGATGAGTACCCTGATGGCTTGGACAATATAAGTTTAGGGAAGTTCCGGGTGCAGAACTTCACTATTTTAGTGAAGCTAATATTGAAATGGCTACTTGCTTACATAGTTTGCCAGGCATTATGGGTCTCCACATTTTGGAAAAATTAATACTTCTTTCTTTTATTTTCTAGGGGACTGCATTAGCTTTACTAAAAAGAGAGGACTACTCAGGCCTGAAGAGCTTGTTGAGGAGAGAATTCAACCCCCTTAGCCGGCTCTTGGTGTTGTTAGGATGGACTCATTGCCAAAGCTTGGAATCAGCAAAAACATTGCTATGGACTCTACACAAAACTCAGGTAAATCAGCAGAAGGTAAATGACATTATCCCAATCTGAGTCCAGATAATGCAATTTGTTTGCAAAAACAAGTAAAACCAGGGAGTTTTTGGTCAGAATAGCAGTCTTCCTCAAAATGGAATTTAGAAAGCTAAGATAGTACAGTCGTATATAGATAATATTATGGGACATTTGCCTTTCTTCTTATTTCTTGGCTGTGAAGACAGTAGGACTGCAAAGGAGATTTTAAAGTTTCTTTTGCATAAACTCATAAACAACCTTTGCTGTTAACATGAACAGCATAGAGAGAAAAACCAGCAATGGTTGTTGATTAGTTTTGAAAAGAGTTGAGGCGTCTTTCTCTCATGTAATTTCCTCCGGTGAATCATCCCTGGGTAGTGACTAATTCAGGCCTGAGTTTAACAACAGAGTAGCTTGGAAATTCCCCATACTCATTCTCAAAGCAAAATGATAAATGACAAGAGCTGTGAGCAAAAGATCCGCCTTGTTTGGGAGCAGCCTTCATCTGTGCAAAAGAGACAGGATTCCAGCTCTGAAGGTGCAATTGCACTTCAGATGATGCCTGCTGACTGGCTTAGATGTCAGAGGTGGGGAGACAAGGAGCCTGGTACTGCTGGGTTGCAGTACTGACTTAAGCTGGTATTGCCTTAAGGGAGTTACTATCTGTTGGTAGTACACCAAAAATCTATTTTGCAAATAGATTGAAAAAAACTTCTGCAAAGTTAAACTCTTAGATCTGATTTTAGCAGGCAGTCACTGTAGTAGAAAAGCACGTGGGAAAGGAGAATAACCATCTGCTACCCAGTATGTCATCTTTCTAGTACATGTTTAGTTCTAGAGATTAGCTTTAGACTGTTACTAAGAAGCATTAATTTGCATTTTATAAGCTACTCTTGAAAAGGGTTGTAGGGTCTGTAGGTCTGTCACAATAGCTCTCCTTTGCTGGCTTTGTAATAAATCTGGCATTTTTCTGTATTTGAAATTTATTACTAGGTAAAGAAGTCTTGCAAACATGCATGTGTAACACAAGCTTGGTTCTGCTATCTGACTGGGAGATTTGTTGTAACGAGATTATTTTATTTGTCTTTCCATTTAGGATCTGTGCAATGATTCAATATTGAAAGATTTTTGTGATGGGCTGTGGGCTCATGTGGAAGTTCTTGAATGGTGCATACAGCAAAACAGGTAAAATGAACAGAAGGACTTTCTCCAAGCTATGTTCCCAATACTACCAGTTAAGTCAGCTTTGCATACAAATAGAGAAGGTATTATTTTCTTGACTAATCATCTAATAGTGACTGCATATACAAGCTCTTGAAATTTCTCATGGACCGCAGTTATGCTCATTGTTTTTCTTTTTAATTGCAGTAGTTTGGCTCAATCACAATTAGAGTGGGAGTTGTATCTTTAAATGTGGCTGAGACTTAAATCTGTGCCACCTCTTTGTTCTCTCTTGCAGTATTACGGTCCCAAGGAAGGTTCTGTTGCAACACTTGCACAATCTGGATTGCCACACTGCGATGTATTCTCTGCATCATCTCACCAATCTTCTGGCACTGAATGAGGATGATGTTATTGAGCTCCTTCAAAAAGTTCCTGCTGGAGACCAACAGATGCAGGGTAAATGTGTAGGGTTGTGAGAATACAGGAAACTCACAATCTGTTGAGTATGTATGTTGAGTACTTCTGCCAGAATTTGTTCTCTTGACCTGCTTCTGTAATTGTGGAAGATAACAGTTACCAGCTGTTTTGTGGAAGAAATCTAGAGAGCATGTGGAAATTATTTTAGAAAACTTTTGGGTAGTAATTGTCTTTGAAGAAGGAATTGTGAGATCTCTTTGATTTCACAAGAACAGATCTCTGAAAGAGCTTTTTCAAGATGGTAACAAGATTTTGATCATGCTCGTGATATATGCTGCTCATTGTAACTTCTGTATTTTGTAATACCTTTCGTTTGAAAGGGAAGCGTATGGTTTGTACTTCAGTGCACTTTAATTGAAAATCAGAGAGCAAAACCGTATGAAATTGACAATACCTTGTACTACATCTTCATTTTTGAAAGAGATAGAACGTGAGGGTTTTTTATTCTAATACTGTTACCAAATTTAAATTTAGTATTTAAATCAGTAAGACTTAGCTACAGCCTGTGTTTACATCACTCCTGCCTCGCTTCTCTCATCTTCACGTGTTCCAGTTGGGTGCCTAAAATACCTGCAACTACAAAACACATTGGATCACTTACGAGTGACTCTCTTTGGACACTGCTTTGATTGCAGCCTGTGTCCAGGTTCAGCTGCTGCAATTTTGAAGCTGTTTTCTGATAGGGCCTCTTAATAATGATACTGTTTTCTGCTTGTACTAGAACTTAAGAAGCCACAGTATTTATTTTCTAAATATTTCTATTATTTTTCTGAATTTGAACATGTGTCATTTCAACCTGAGTTGCATGGAGAACTCTCAGTGATGGATGCTGCACAGATTTTTCCAGATTGCCTAGAGGGAAGCAGGTTTCCTTCCATATCATGCTGTTGAGATGTTGGTTTCTATTCCTACTTTTACAGGTTTTGGTGTTAAAATTATTATGACACTTGTCTTGAATAATCTTAAAAGATGTAGGGATTGAGACTCTCTATATATCCTTATTTTCAATGTCCTGCTGTCTGAAATGGTTTTGTTGTTGCTGGTGTTGTGGGGATTTTTAGTCAGTTCTTACATTTTAATTACCTTCTGCTTAAATTCTGTCAAAGCCTTTCAAAAGCAGAAAGAGTCAGTCCCATCATATCTTCTGGGAGCTGCATGACTGTAGCAAAAGAACTCTAGCTACGATTTCTCTTCTTTTTTTTTCATGTTGCATTAATTTATGGAAATAATTAATGGCAGACAAGTCCTCCTTTTTAATCAATTATTGCAGAATTCAGATGATTTTATAAATTTAGCTTAATAGAATGTCCTTTAAAATCATCTATTTTGAGCCGTAAAGGGAAGAGAGGAGTCATAAACTTCTGTTTTGTCAGATGTAGTAGTGTTAACAGGCCTTTTCCTCCCATCACTCCACATGCTTTCCCTTCTTCCCCTTCTTTTTAGTACATATCTATCAGCTGCAGTCGTGAAACCAGAGTAGTTTGAGTTGAGTTCAGGCTATGCATAACGCTGGTTTTGATCAGTCACGGTGAGCAGCAATTTCCTCATGAGTTACAGTATTCAAGAAGAAGGTATTAGTATTTCTGGCATAGGAAAAACAGTGCTATTAATTAAAGGATTGTTCTTCACTATTGGTACAAGGAAAAGGATTGGTGTAGGTACAAATACTGACACAGACTCACTGCATCTAAGTTTATCCACATGTGAGGCAAAAGTATATTAAACTTATTTTTGATTACCAATATCTGTCTTTCAGTATCTTCATCTAACTATTTCTTTTCCAGAGTTTTGTATTTATCAAATATCTGGTTTTACCTGCTTGAAGTCTTCTTAAAACAGTGGTATTGAGAGCTATTTGATTGTTTACATGTTAGTGTAGAGCTTCTGGGCAGCAGTAGAATTTCAATGGCCATGTAGGTTCTGCAAGGGATTCATATTTGGATGCCTCCTCCGTTCTGTCTGCTGTCTACATTATATTTTCCATCACTGTCACTGTTTAGAATGGCAGTGATGTGGAATAACTATTTCCAGCTGTTTGTGCTCTCAGTCCTTTTGCTTTGGCTGCTTTGTAGTTTTCAGAAAAGTTCAGTGCTTTTCTTTGCATTCATGTTCAAACTTGGTGGAGGACAGTGCTGAAACAGTTTTTATGTTAGGTGGTTTTGTTCAGTTCCAGAATTTGGATGTGGACATTGTCAGTACGTTGTGCTTTGTATCAGTGTTTTGTTTTAAAAAAATAGCTTGGCTAATGCTTTTCCTGCATGACAATAGGTAGAGGGACAATCCATCTCTTGTATAAGAATACAGGGCAGTGGATTCCAAGCACTCATTTAACACTGTGTGTGGTTGTCAGGGCTTTTTTTCTTTGTTGTGGGGTTCTTTTAACCTTTTTATAGTAGATGGATAATTCATTTAAACTCAGCACAACAGAATATATGACACTATATTGTGTTCCTGGGTGAAGGGGATGATGATGTGATTTTTTTACAATTTGCAGCTCTTCTGTTCTGTTGTACTAAGAAGGGATCATGTCTCTGGCATGTGATACCTTTACTAGAAAAAATTCCAAAGGGAGGAGAAGTGGGTACAGGACTTCTCTAGTTTGCCTTTATCATAAATGTGTGAGGGGAACTGTGGGAACTGTGCTTCTTTAATCAGTTGCAGATTATATTTGATCTATTGTGTCAGCCACTGTGAATCAACCATGATATCTGTTTATTAGTACAAATCTGAAGAGGTGGTGGTACTCTATTCTTACTACAGTCGTAGCCTGTCTGCACTGTTTCCCTACTCTACTGCGTACTAGAACACAGAATTCTAAGAGGCTGAAATGAAGCAGGATTTGCCCTTCTGTTGTAAATGCAGCAGTACAGCTTAACCATGCACTGGTAAAGAGAGTCATTGTGAGGGATTTTGGTCATTCTGTGCTGTAGCCAGGTCCTGTTACACAAGTGCACGGAAAATTTCATTTTTAGAAGGGGATGCAGACCTGACTTTTCTGTGCCCATCTGTTGTGGGTTGCGTTGTTTGGGATTTTTTTTCTAAGAGTGAAACAGATCAAAGCTGAGACAAAAACAGCACTGGGGGAAAAAAGACTGGATAAATACTGCTGTGCAGGAACTGCAAGAGAAAATTAACTTGTTTTCTTGTTTACCTCCTACCCCTTCACCACCCTGATTTCCTTCCTCAGCAGCCACCCTCCCTAGCACCCTGAGTCAGCAGCGCAACCTGGCACTCTTCCGAGCGTTCTGTGCCATGAAGTATGCAATCTATGCTCTCTGTGTGAATTCACACAGGCATGCCAAGTGCAAGGATTGTGTGCACAGCCTTCTTGGTGATATCCCTGAGGATGCAGCTTTTGGAGAACCAGCAGGTGATCGGTCTCCTTTCTCAGGTTCAGTAACACGTGCTCCTCCATCCAATTGCTGGGCTCTGAATTGTCACTTAGTATTGGGATGATGTTGCACCCTGTGTACATATGGTATTTTATTCAGCAGGCTGTGGATGCTTTGCAAGCAAGTATAATGGTGTTTCTTTGAGTGTTGTTATCTTTAGTAATAATAGGTATGATTGGCCTTGTTTTAAAACACTTAAGGTAATTGTACAAAAAATATAGTGCTAAAAGGAAGTAATACTAGATATAGAATCATAGTGACAGGTAATTTTGGAAGAGCTTATGATTTACCAGAGCTAGAACTATTTTAATAGCTAGAATGGGTGTAATCTGAATTTGCACATCATTGTGCATTATCAAAGTGATAACTGGCATTGCTCAGAGGGAGGAGACATACTACCTTTCTAAATGTAAAATGTTGGACATATATTTACTTAGTTTTTGGAGGAATGATTGGGTCTGAGCCCCTGGGCTAGTTCCCTCTTCTGGGATTTTCTTAAAAGGAACAAGTTGGAGCAAGGAATCCCTGAAAAATGTAGTAAATGCTCTTTATTTTTGTTTTGAATTGTACAGATTGCTCTTCATTATTTCCTCAGTATATTGTGAAGTGTCAGCAATTCTTAAGAAGTGTTCCCATTCCTCTGCGCCTGGAGGTTTTGGAAAATATTTTCTCCTTACTTTTCGTTTCCTATAACGACCTCTATATTGAGACTCCTCTGCCTGAGGACTATGCAGAGGATGAAGACCTTGACAAAAAGGGTGCTGCTCTGAGTGTAGAAGGCCACAGTGCCAGTCGGCGGTCTTCCACCTCACAAAGTCCACAACACCTAACAGAGGCTGAAAAAAAATCAGAGAGGCATCTGCTGGCTGCACAAACAATTCACACAGATACCCAACGTCTTTGTGACTCTATATTAGATGGCAAAAGCTGTGAAACCTCTAAGCCATGCTACCTGGATCTGAAACACTTCACCAGTGGTGTTACTGGGTTTTTAGTGGATGATGTAGCCATGGAGGCCTTCCTCACATTGCTGCTCAGCCACCTGGAAGAAATTCAGAGTTCTCTCCCATGGGACTCCAGTAATGTGCTTCGTGAAGAGCTGGAGCTCGTTGAGTGCTTGAATCTCTCTGCAAGCAGAGATGCCTTTGGAAGTCGCATGTTACAGTTTTCCAAATACCTTTCTGAAGCTCACTGGCGGTACAAGGTGGTGATGAGTAACAGAAATGCAGGTAGGCTTTGTATTTGGCATTTTCTGATATGTTACAGCTGTCCAGACAGTGACCTCAAGACTAAATTCTGTGAGCATCTTAGTGAGGGAGAACATTTTGACAGATAGTGGGAGAGTCACCTGGTTCTTGCACCATTTTCCAACAGACGTGATCTCTATTCCAATCAGAAAGTTTGGGTCTTTTTCTCTTTTCCCTCCCCTTTGTGGATGCACTGCTCCTGTTTGCTTTTGTCTCACCCCTTTGTCACAAGTCACACTGCAATGATGGGAAGGGACAACGTGGTGGTATTGGATCAAATGCAAGCCAAATAGTCTGAGCTTGTTCATGGACAGTGTTGATTTAGCCTTTTCTGGAAACATGTTAGGAACATGTATGAGAGGAAGTTGTATTATTCTGGATGATTGTTGAAGTAGCTGGCACAATATACTCAGGAATCTGTTTCCCACCCTTCTCCATAGCCCATAACTTGTTAGCACTGCTCTGAGATTTTGTCTTGTATCGTGTGTAGCTTATTGTGTGTCTCAGATCATGTAAGCTCCATGTCCCAAGAAAGGCTTTGCAATCTGGACCTTAAATATTGCTAGTTTCCAAACTTCTGTTCAACTGTTTGTCGAGTCTCCCTCTATAAAGCTATTTGGTAATGTTTCTGTTTAAATATTTCACAGAAAATCAGCTTGCAGCCTCCAGGAGATACTGCTCTTTAATCAGGTGCTCCAGCTTTAAGAAACGAAGTAGATACCGGAGGTACAAGACAGGTGAGTTGAAAAAGTGACTTGGAGAAGACACTTCTGAAATGTGCAAAATTTTGCTGAGCTCATAACTGAATGCAATTAGATTTCATGGCCTAGGAGTAAATTAGATTTATTATTTAAATTAGATTTATTTCCTTTAATTTTCTAAGTGATTTGAAGTGTCTTAGTCCAGTTCCACTTGGATTGAGGTTGTTTTCTAAAGCTCATCTGCACAAATAACTTCTTCCATACGTAGTCTGATTTGGGGCAGGGGAGAACTTCAACTGCAGTACTAATTTTTCCCTTTCTCCACTATGTCCTATGACTATTTTGGTATATTTTCAGTCTTGTATGCGGTATTATCTGGGATGTGAATTAACAGGAATCTGTGGCATAAATTGGCAGTCTTAGGACAAAGTTGTGTTCCTCACCTTTTTTCTATTTGGCCTTTGAAAGGCATGTCTGGTTTTGGAGCAGCGTATTCCAAAATAAGAAGCTTCGAAGTACCTGACGTGAGTCACTGATGGGCCAATATAGTCTCTAGCCCAACATTTTCTTCAAATCAGCAGTTTTTGCATTTATCATAGATGTCAGTGGTGGCTCATTTACAAGATACTCTTGAAAATCCCTTGAGGTTGCCTAATCTGTTATTTGTGGTAGGTTGTAATTACCTTGTCTAGTAAAAATGTATTTAATGTGGTGATTTTGATTTGTTTCCATTTTAGATGGGAAAGAGGGAACTTCCAGTCCATCATTAGAAAGCACAAGTAGCGAGTTAAGCACCAGTACCTCAGGTATTTAGCCACAAAAGTAGTATTCCTTTGTCTTTTTAACGTACATGATGAAGAATTTGCTTGGTTAATGTGAATTACTGCTGTGTGCAGGACAGAATTATATATTTTTGTTTCTCAGAGCTCCCATTTTTGGATGACTCTTTTCTAGTTGAATAGTATGTGTCTTTTTCTGGAATAAGAGAATTAGATTTTTCTTGATATCTTTGGCTTGCAGGAAACAGTATGCAAGCAATGTAGTGATCTGCAAACCATCAAAAAAGCTAATGAACTGATAGTCATGTAAGCTGAGACATGCTTAGGCATGCTGGACTGATCTAATAGGTCAGATGCTTTAGACTTCTCCCTTTATCCATATTGAACAGTGCCCAGCACTGTGTGCATGTTATGTAACTGCTGAAAAGTGTTGCATGGGGATGAGATCCAAACTACAAATTCTGACCAAACCCTGTTATGAGAATTTTTAACAGTTGACCTCTACCCTAAAACTTGCTTGCAATTCTGCTCCTATATTTTTGTGTTAAATATGTGAAATGCTGTTATCTGATAGATGACTGTTATTTGGTGAAATGTGTTTTCCCTAATAGTATACTGATTAATTCTGTCTTGCAGAGGGAAGTACCAGTAGTGTGTCTGGCTTGAGTGATTTGGAAAGCAGGGCAAGACCACATCAGCAGAACTCCCTCATTCCTATGATGCTTTCCCCCCCAGAATCACTGTTAGTTTCTTGTGTTTTGAGAGGAAACTTTGTGGAAGCCCACCAGGTAAATAAGTTGCATGTATTTCAAGTGAAAGAATCACTTCAGAAGTAGAAGCAAGTGGAAGGACCAAAGGTATTCCAAACCAACATCCCACAGATGCACAGATGTTTTTTTCTGCCTTGTTATATGAAAATACTTTCTCTACACCTGGGTTCTCAATGCATGCAAATATTTGATGAGTGCTAGTCAAGCATAGTGTTTCAACTGACTGAAGAACACAAAGAGCTCATGTGAAGTCTCATGAGGAAGCAGCACCTGAACTGCTTTATTTAATCAGTTTTTCAAAACCGTCACAGTCTTCCACTTATAACCCTGGTAGAAACATGCAAAGGTGTTCCTTGGCCAAAGCAGTGATTACTTTCATTTGAATGAGGTATGTTTTGAGACTAAATTTGTGCTATTGAAAACAGGCAGAAAAACTTGAAAATTGACAGTCTTGCATGTTTGTGATCTTTTGTTCCCTCACAGCTGTGCATACCTTTCTCTGTGTGGCTTTTGAGCTAAATGCACTGAAAAAAATCTTGAGGTGCATCAGGGACTGGATCTTCTGTAAAAATCTGTGACCTGGCTGAGTTTCAGATAGACATACTAACACAATTCATCTCACTTAAACATAGCACTGACATCAGGTTACTGCTCAGCCAGTTCTGTTTGATTCCAGGCATGCCACTTCACCTTTTCCCTACTTACAGGGCCAAGGGAGCATTTTGTTTTGCTTTGTTGCCTTGATTTTCAGTATCACCAATGATAATGCACTCAAGCTTAGTTTGTGTTCTTTTGTTAGTTTCATAATAGGAACTTGCATAGCTCTGCTTAGCTACTCTGTGTTTAAATTTTGAGAAGGTATTCCTTGCTGAATAAGAATCTATTTGAAATAGTCTACTTTGGAGGCAAACTTGATAGATATCTCTCATTACATAGTGTATTGAAATTGTGAAGAATCATTCTAAAAGGTGTGAGTTATGAAATTTAATTAAGCCCTCATCCTGTGGCAAATAATAGGTAAATTTTATAATAATCGTTGAAAAACGAGGGGGCCTTTTTTTTAGGCACTTAAAACTCTCTGGGAGAAAACCCCACCACTTCAGCCTGTTGTGTCTGTGGGGACGTTTTTCAGTTAAAGTATTTATTTTATTCCTTTGTCTCCTGTAAAGCCTCCCCCTAAGCTCTTTGACCTTTGAAAACTTGATTTGACATGCTCTGTAATTACATCTGTTGTTACTTTTGAAAGGTGGCTTTGATGTTTAATCTGGAGACTTCCCCTTGCTATGGTGAATTGGTTTTCATGGAGCGTTACCAAGAAGCAGTACGAGAAATGGCAAGAGTGGAGCACAATATTGAGAATCAAGCATCAGATGGCACTGGAGGCATCAGGAAGTCTGGCAGTGGCCGTTCAACACTGCAAGCTATTGGGAGTGCAGCAGCAGCTGGTAAGGACTGGGCTTTTGGAGTTCTAACAAAGAGTTGGGGACAAGTGAAAAATATGAGAAAGCAACTGGAATACTGTCAAAATGAATGTAGTCTTTGTTCAGAAGGGTAAGTGGTGGTTCTCTGAGTTAGAAAGAGACTATGATTGCTAAAAACTTGCTGTTGATGCCCAATTAGTTGCATCCATTCTACAGTAATTGATTGGTCCATGAAGCAGGCCACCTACGGAATTATTTTCTATAAGGATTAAAAAATAGTTACCCATTACAGGATCTGATGTAACAATGCTGTTAACCAGTGATTGTGTGTTTTTGATGGCACATATAGGTATGGTATTTTATTCAATCTCGGATGTTACTGATAAATTGCTTGCAACTTCTGGAAGTCTTGCCCCTACTCTTCAAGAAAACTTCTGGATCAGGAACATCCAGCTGGAGCATACTGATCCTCTGCGAGAAGTCCTTGAGGACCTCAATCCTTCAGCAATGGCAGCATTTGACTTAGCTTGTACTCAATGCCATCTTTGGAAGACATGCAAACAGCTTCTGGAGACAGCAGAAAGAAGACTCTACAACAGCCTTGAAACTCGGGGTAGGCTTTTGATTTTTATGTTTATCAGCATGGGCTTGGGAACAGAAAATGCCTTCTATGCTGTATTGTTTGTGCTAACACCCAGGTCTTAATTAAAGCTCAATTCTTACTTTCATATTAGTGTCTCTTTTTCCACTCTTAACTTTGATTTTGTCTCCCTTTGCACAATGACTGTTCCAGGCCACCGACCTGACTTTGTTTTACTGCACTGTGAAGGTGTAAAGGGTTTTCCAGCAGTTCTCCAGCAAATAAGTAAAATTCTCAACTATTCCTGCACATCACAAGGTCAATCCAGACCAGGTAGGATGCTTTGCTGATAAGGCTTTCTGTTGAAATGTGCTTAAATTCATGTTTTCTCTTGCAATGTAAATTTGAACTTCCCCTTTTTTAGCTTAATATTTTTAACAAAAAAGGTGAGGGGGACGTGACCCAAGCTAAATCGTGAATAATCTGAAATGCTCTGGTTTTTTGTATTATAATATACTTCTGGTTTTGTGGGCCTTCTTCTATACAAAAACATTCATGTCTTCGTTATAATTTCTGTTTCTTTCTCCCTTTTTGTAGAGGTGCCAGATGAGAAAATAGGGAGTCATTTTCGATGCAGTATTGTAGACCTCCTGCAAACTTGCTACCCCACCTTGACTGAAGAAAGTATTACTAATGAAATTGTTCTATCACAAAACCTGGATCATATCCTAAAAGCACTGACATGTGTTGAACGTTCTGTGGGTGAGTTATTTTTGTAAACATAAAGTCTGTATCTAAATTTTTGCTTTGGCCTTTTCAGGCAGCAATAAATCTAGTAGTAGTGTTCTTTGACATATGCACAAATACGTATTTTAAGAATCATAAATGCAAAGGGTAAGATTTATCTGTAATTCTTGTATTTGTTTTTGCAGCTAAAATCCTGAACTTGTCAGAGACATTATTTGTCCTATTTCTGTGCAGTCCTAGCAAGGAATTCTTTTAAGTGTATTTTAACATGGCACCTTACAGATAATTAGGTGTATTCTTACTCTTGCTTTTCTCTCTTTTTTTTTTAGTAACACAATGGGAGATAAACTTACAAAACCTTTATAATATCATAATACCTTTCAATTTTCATAGGACTGTCATAAAACATCTCATTTTTTCCACAGTTGCTTTTTCTTACATCTCTCTTCATTATATAGCACTGGTGTTTCTCTTTTTGTATTCACCAAATTTCTAAACGTCTTTTGGGTATTCTTAAAATATTTAATAAAAAAAATTTAGGAGACCTCTAAGGGCTAAATGTTATGGAGCTTAAGAATTGGTCAGCACCTGTGTTTTAGAATAAATGTTAATGACACAAAACTAGATATATTTTAGGTCTGCCTTAATATAGTTCTAACTTGTCAGGGCCAATTTAGACGAACTGTAGTTTTATTCTGCTGTGAAAATTTCTCTTGCTTTTAATTGGATTATAATGCTTATAGTAAAAATCTCCCTTGCTTTTGGTTAAATTCTAATGCTCAAACCGAGACCTAAAATTGCAGAGAAGAAATAAAGCTAAAGCATTTCTCTCTCTTTCTTCCCCACCCCCCTGCCTCCTTTCTTCTTGACATTTAATCCTTGAATGTTGGATGTGCATCTGTTCTCTTAAACCAGACTCTAAAGGGAGCCTGCTTGGCACCTTGGTGGAGCAGGGCTCTCTCAAACCAACGGAGCTGGAGAAGCACCTGGTTTGGAACCAAACACAGCTCCTGCTGAGAACTCTTGACCAGCATGCCCAAACCATGCCAGAGAACAGCAGGCACACAAACTTTGTGAAGGCCTTCCTTGACTACATCACTACACTGGCTGCTGTGGTGTTACGAAGCTTGAATGCAGAGCTAGGTAAGGGGTTTCTGCTGGAAAGTCTGAGCCTAGGTGAAGATACTCACACTGTGTAGTCTGGCCTAATTCTGGGAAGTAATTGTGCAAAAATGGTTCCTTGCCAAATGTACCTTCTACCTGTGCTTTTGATTTCAACTAAATTTCATAATACCTAGGCTACCCATAGCTCACATAAAAATAGTTGATGTGAGTGGGAAAATGAAAACAGAAATGCTAACTACTGACCCAGACTCTGCAATTCACTTAGAGTGGTGCCAAAACAGCCATTGATATCCAAAAATTCTTAGCACTACCCCTGTAAGGAAAGTTTGATTTTTGCATCCAGTGGATCAGCATACTGTATAATTTACAGCTGCCTTAGAGGCAGCAAGCACCCTGCTGCTCCACAGGGATAAGAAAAGAGTATGTAGAAGGCCATGCAGAGGTCACCAGGCAGAATTTTTTTATAGAATCAGCAGATGATGTTGGTCCATGAAAAGAAATGTACTGTCAGCACATAAAGCTGTCAGAAGAGCAGAACAATTCACTGTGCTAGGAGTAAAAATGCTTATCTGTGTTTTAAAGTTGAGACTAATTGAGCTGCACTAATGTAAAATACCACAGTACTGATTTCAGAGAATACCTTCCCAAGAGGATAAGAAAAAAGGACAAAAATCTGTTTGTAGACATGCTCGTTCAGCTCAGGTCACTGCCATGCCAGCCATAACTTCTGCATAGACATAATTTTGTCCTCACTGAGTAACTGCCAAAGCCTAAAAGTGCACAAAAATACTCCAGGGCTGGGCAAGTTTGGGGAAAATGTTATTGTATTGGAAGATGAAAGGAAAAGGTAAACTTAGGAGAATGTGTCTAAAGTTACTTGACATAACTCAGTAGTGGATACAAATGCTTCCCAGCAGTAGTGGCCAGAGTTCCACTCCTATGTAAGAGTACCTGTACACTTGTGAGTTCCCTATTCTCTTGTTAACTGACATTGATAGAGCACGGACTCACCAGTCAACACCCAGGGACTCATCAGAAAATAATTCTGCATGTTTTCTACTTCTCACTTCAAATACATATTTTGGTGAAAGTTTGACGTAGAGTTACTAAACTGTTTGAGCCTAGATCTTGCTTAAAGGCTGAAGAATCTCTACTCTACCTGTTTTGGTAATACATCCAACACAATATTGCTAAGATTGAGAAGTATATTCATAATCACAACTGCTTTTCAATTTACTCTGGGTTTTACCATTCTAGTGTGAATTTAGAACTCTGAATTTAGTCAAAGTGGTTTAGACTCAGGGCCTTAAAATTTATATTCCTAAATAAAAGTTGGTTAGTGTATTCAGCTAATGTGTTTGTATTATAATAACTAATCTGATGATTTTTTCCCTAAGATGGATCTGCAGAAGTGAAAGTGGGAAACCCGTTCATACTCTTACAGCAGAGTCCAACTCAGCTGCTTTCCCAGCTTATTTTTGAGAGACAAGTTCATCCTGACAGGTCAGTGCTTTTCAGCTTATGTACTCCTTGTAGGTTATTTTGGTATTGGTGACTTTCACCTTAGCCATGATTAAGTTCTTTGGCTACTTATCACAGGTGGTAGAGCCTGGTATGTCCCACCAGCTGATCATGATGCTGCAAGGATTGGTGTGCAGGGAGGAGCTTAGTCAGTGCCTTCTCCATCAGCGTGAAGATTTCTGGGAGAATAGTGGCTCCATATTTTTAACAAGTGCTATCTGTTGTGAAGTGAGAGTGAAATTATGTGGATTTTTTTTTAACTGTGTGAAAGTTCAGAGGAGTGCACTTGCAGCTTGTCAATGTAGTATAATAAAGTAGGCCAGTAGATCTTATTGAGAATACTGGTCATGACTCTTGCCCTGGTCAGCAGGTAAACTGGCTAATCTAGACTCCTTCCATTGCAACTACGAAATTAGGTTGGCATGGAAACTGTCTGATTTGATGAGGTGGCTTTTAAAAAGATGAGCGCTAATAGTGAGCTATTTTAGTAGCTTGCATTTAGGTAAAAGTCAGTGTTTGAGGAGTAAGTTCCTTTTCTGTAAAGGAATGGCAGCATAAGCTTTGAGTTAAAATAGTTTATTTAATGTTGTGTATGTACATGTGAATAATATTGTGTTCTCAAGGCATTTGGAAGATTTATGAAAATAGGTAATTATAAAGTACCTTTTATACGTGCTGGGTAAGCTGGTTCTGTTTTCAATCCTACAGACTTTCTTCTCTCTTGGCTAAAGAAGAATTGAACCTGAATGTGCAGCAAGTCATTGTTAACTCTTGCTGTGAACCACTGTCCTTGTGCAATGCAAGACAAAACAGCCAGGCAAAGTCTCTTCTCACAAACATCAGCAACTTGACACACCAGTGTGCCCACCACTGCCTGCCAGATGTTGAAATACCTATTCACAGTTCTGCTGTGACCTCTGAGGATATCTCCACTCAGGCCTCATCCTCTGTGAATGACTTGAGCCAGCACACACTGACTGCCTCCTCCCTGGACTTCCTGAAGTCTCAGTCAAAGCTAATGGCTACAGTGGCATGTCTAAGTGCATCTAATATACAGAAAATTCACAAATCAGGTTTGTCTTGGATGGAATTTCGGGGCAAACGGGAAGTGCCCTTAGGCTTGGAACAGATTTCCAGGGAGTGTGAGACACTGTTGAAGGAGTTCCCAATATTGGAACGATATCTTCTTGCTATGTTTGACCCGCTTCAGAATCAAGAGGAAGGTGGCAGTTTGGCTGCTGTCTTCTCTGGCAAGGCATACATGTCTCTGGTTCTCCTGGGATTACATTCCACCACAGCTGTTAAAGTATTAATGGGAATCTTGGAACAAGCTCTTGCAGCAAAGGATTGGGACAGAACTCTGAAGGTCTTGGATCTGTACAGTCAGGATGTGGAGGAAGTGATCAATGTGAAGGATGCTGTACTGAGTTGTGCAGCTGCTGAAGGTAAGAAGGACTAAGTCAGGCTTTTTTTCTTCTTTTTTCCTTTTTTTTTTTTTTAATAAAGAATGGAGCCCGGATCAAGATGTAGAAAGTAAAGTAGTGGTCCTTGGACAAATCCAGACACGGAAATATATAATTTTCCTTTCTTCATCCTGAATTTGCTTTCTCTAATGGTGTTGTTTCTGTTTCACAAATGTGCAAATCATGACCAATTTAGTACAAGAGAACTGGAATGCATCTGTGGTGTTATTTTTATGTGAAGAGCTGATTACATCAGGACACAGTAATCATTGTGCTGCTGTTAATGGAACATCTCTTACAGCAGTGTCATTGTCATGCATGGATGATGTTATCTGTGAAAGGTGTCTTTTGGAGTCTGAATAGTAAGTATCTCATGCTAACTTTGGATGCTTCCCAAAATATTGATGCTTGGAATGACTCTTACAAAGATTTTTAAGCCCTGGCAGTGTTTCTTTTGTTGATGTGATCCAGCAAGGATAAGGATTTTTTTTCTTTTATTTTCTGGATTATAGAAACTGAATTTCAAATTAGTGTTTTGTTTCCTCCACAGATAAGGATGGTTGGCAATACTTGTTCCCAGTAAAAAATGCAGTGTTGAGAAGTAGACTGGCCCTGCGCTGTCTGGACAAATGGCCCCTTGATGCCTGTCTGGAAATTTTGGCTTATTGCATTTCTGATCTGGACATACCTCAGGAACTAAAAGCCAATCTGCAGAGCAGGAGGAAAGAACTTAAGGTTTATCAAAAGGTACAGGGTCGTTTTTGAAGTAACCAGTGAGATGAAATAGGCAGCAGGAAGCAAATATTGCTTGCCCTCTGAAAAGCTTTAGCCCTTGGTTCTTTTTTGATCATGAGAGCTTTTCAAGTCTTATCCAAAACAGCTCATGTGAAGTACTACAGTATGAAGTTAACACTCAGCTTCCATCCTTCATAACTTTCCCACTCACCTGTTAGCATTCAGGTCTGCAAGCATGTTTAGGTACAAACATTTGTGTGAGTCTGATTGTTTTACAAAGTATTTTACATTTCATACAAATTCTAGAGTCTCTGGAAGCGTTCCATGGCAGTTAATAATTTTACAAGTTTAAGAAATGCAGATGGTGTTCAAGACGAGTGGTGCAAGGAGCAAGTCTGTATTGCAGTCAGTTCTTCTAACTGCAGCATAGTGCAGATACACAGGTTAAATCAGACAGGCTGGCCTGGAGTTCAGCACTGACTGAAAAGCCAGACAGCAAAATAAGGAGTCACCCCTGCTGAGTTCTGTCTGGTGGGAGTTCTGCTAACTGTTGTTGCTGAGTTCAGTTGTCTTTCTGTGTGCCAGCAACATCTGCATTAAACGTGTACTTTGGCATCCATAATTATTGCCATCTAATCTTTCAAAAAACCTTCCCTTATAAATGTGCTTTTTAGACTCACATCTCTGAAAACTGGAGGGGTTTTTTGCATGCAGGGGCATTACATCATCCCTGAAAAGGGCTATAGATAAATGTGGGTCTCCTTTTTGAATTTTTCATTCTATGAAGCAGCTCTTGATGTGATCAGCTCAGCTGTTTTGTTAGGCTATTGATTGCCATAAATTAAAATTCTTGAACTTGTGCTACTCTGTATTAACTTTTTCAGATTTTGAATGTGCAAAATGAACCATTGTGGAATGACTGGCAGGATCTGAAAAAAGCCTGCACTGATGACCCTCAGGCTGTCATGAATATCATTCTAAAAGCAAAGGTTAGACATCATCATGTGAATTTTGTTGAATTAGAGTGCATTAAACTTTGAGTAAATAAATTCGCTGAAATAGCATTTTAAAACAATGATCAGTGGAGATTCCTTGGGAGGAAGGATTCCTTTACTCAGCTCTGTGCTACAGAAACAAATACAGATCTGTGTTTAATATCAAGATTTACATGTGGTTAATAATTCTTGTGTTTTAGTTAAAACTCCTACTCTGAGATATAGCCCATTCTTTTCATTTACAATTTTGAAGATTTTAAAATAGCATAACTTTGGTTCTAATACAGATTTGATTATTAGGTAAATGCTAATATTGTAGATCTGGCTGGCTTTAAGTGTCCTTCTGAAAAACTAACTTGTTTACTGTAAGGTAAGCAAGGTATTCTAAATGCAGGCTGTGACTGATGAAATTGACTATCGTCTTCCCTTGTCAATGTAATTATTTATTTTTTTATACGGGAGAGGAGTCTAAGCTACAGAATCTCCTGCTCAGAACTTTGGGAGAAACAACTGTATCAGGGAGGGTAGAGTTTGTCCTTCTGTTTTTACTTTGTTTTTGGTTTTTTTTATTCTTTAGGATTATGAATTGTGTGAGGAATGGGGACACTTGTATCCTGTCCCAAGAGAAGACTTGATCAACCTTCACCGTGAGCACCTTCTCCACTTACTGGAGATGGGAGACATGGAAAAGGCATTGCAGGTATTAGCAAGACACTCTCAGCTTCATATCCACAGATGAAATAAGTTGACAGCTGTTTTCTCTGCCTTCACTGTGTGTGTTTTCATGGTCTTTTTGGTTCCACCCTTAAGAGATGTTATTTGCTTGGATAACCTTTTAAGATCCTAGCTCTCCCCTCTTCTACTTAAGTAAAATTCCAGCTTGGCAATTTAGTTCTGGGACCTTATAGCACAAATGTCACTTACATGGAAATGCAAGGCTCCCTTCATTTGAAAAATCATAATGAAGCATGTTAGTGCTGCTGAAGTGAAACTAATAACATGAATTAGTCAGCTGTGCATCAGTGCCCAAATTAGTGGTGTGAACATCTTTGGTTTTAGTAATGATGGAGCTGTCACTTAGAGAGTGAATTAATTTTCTTGCTGGAACGTTGTAGGGTAATAAACTGTCACGGACAGAAGGCTGCCTTCCAGGAAAGCTGTAGGGTTTCCTTGTGTTTTGTTTGGTTTTGTAGCTTTTACAAAGAATCGAAGACCCTGGTGTTTGCCTTGCCATCAGTGAACAGTCCCTTGACCAGCATCCCAACTTGGCAGCCTCTCACTTCTTGGCTGATTACCTCACAGCTCACTTCTATGCCAGTCTGACAACTGCACGCCGGAATGAAATCCAGGCACTCTATATAGGATCAAAGGTCAGTAAAACCCCTGCCTTGAGGGAATAACAGCAGTAAATAGCTGTATAAGTAATTTAGTAATGCATGATATTTCCATAATATAAAAAGCCTGCGGGGTTTACCAGAGCATTCTCACCACATCAGATCTAAGATCCTGAATCTCAGGATCCAAAGGAAAGTCAGAGATGGCTTAAAGCTTCTCTTTCCTTTTTCCAGTTTTGCAGTTCCATATTATGAGCAAAGCAGTCTTGTGTTTGAGCTGTGGGGAGTGGAGGAACACACAGGCTGAAAGAGGATAGGGTGGAATGAAGTAAAATTGTGGAGCTCATTAGAACAGTTGCTGTCTTTGTCCCAAGTGAAGAAGAAAGTATCCTCAACGTACTCTCTGTGTCGGTAACACCAGGTGTCCTATATATGCCCACCTGTATGGTGGTTTTTTTGATGTTTCTCCCAAGTGCCTTCCAGAGGTGAAGGATGTCACTCCCCTTTCTGGATGGCCACTGCCTTTACACAAGTTCTGTGCTCAGCCTGAGAATAGATGCATTAATCAGCAGATTACCTTAGTTGAATGCATTACATGTAAACAAAATGCAGTGCTTTTGGTAATGTCTGTTTTGGTGTAGGACTGTAAAAAGCCGCTTGCTCCAGTGTGTGTCACAACAGTATTTTGCTGGGCTGCCTGTTTCCTTACTTGTTCCTTCTGAAGAAATGACTCAATTTGAAAAGCATCCATATTAACTGTCCATCTAGAGGAGAGTTGCTCTTACTTTCTCCTCTTAACATTTCCTCAAATGATAAGAGGTTAAGGATTGGGCTAATATGCTTTTTATAAGTTTATTTACATAAGAGAATGTGCTGTACTCTGCTACACCATACTTGTCACAAGGTCACAAGAGATTTTCCACTCTTCCATATCCTCTGAAATGGGGCAGTGTTTTATAGAATGGAAAGCAGAAGCTAAGTGATTCTGCAAATCCTCTTAGCAATTTTGTAACAGAAGTTGGAGTTGATTTAAGAAATCCCACTTCCTTTTTGTGACCTCCACATGTCATCCCATTCTCTACATAAGTTATTGTGCTAGTTTGTTTAATCTCCCAGAAACACAAATTTAAAGGTGTTTAATTTTGTGATACATTTTTTTCTCTGGTGTCTCAGGTGCTGCTGACTCTGCCTGAGCTCTCCCGTGTTAACTACGTCCACCTCTCCTCAAGGCCACTGCTCATGCTGGAACAGCTCCTCATGAATATGAAGGTGGACTGGGTAGCTTTAGCTGTGCAGACACTGCACCAGCTCTTAGCTGGGCAGGAAATCGGTTTTACTGTAGAGGACATTGACAATTTGCTTTCCAAGTATGCAGAAAAGGCTCTCAACTTCCCTTTCACATTAAAAGAAAAGAGATCAGGTAACTGTCTACCAGAATGCTGTTTTTCATTTGGGAAAGAAGGGCCAAAATCCTCCAAGAATAATTTCAGCAATCGTGCCATAACATTTTTAGATGTATGCTTCCAGTCTCCCTCTAGCCCAGAAAATATTCTTAGTCTTTGCCTTTCTTGTAAATAGGTGTTTTCAAAGGCCAACAGCTCCAAAAGTTTCTCAGACTTTTTGCTGTTGTTCCTTGTTAAGGTTTGTTTTCCTTTATAATACCGATGAGTTTTATTTTACTCCTGTTTAATGCAAAGTCACTGACAACTTAAGCACTTCTAAAGCCTGCAGCCAGCTACATCTTCCCTCAAGTAGAATGGGGATTTAGTCTTCTATAGTATTTCCTCCTACTAGAGTCCTATTCCTTTTTCATATAGAAAACTTCTAGACTGGTAGTTGTGTTTAACAGTTTTGTTATGGTTCTCCTTTCTGGCTTGCCAATCCTTTCTCATCCATGTTGTCTTTGAGTCTCGTGTACTTAGCTTCTTTGGCGGTTTTTGAACTGGAACAGCAGAGGGTGCTGCAGATCCATTCCAATGCTTTTGTGTCACTATTAAAAATGTATGGTTCTGTACCTATCTGTATCTGTTTATACCTGCTGATAATGGTACCAACTTGCATTATGCCAGTTTTCAAGTGTTGACTTCATTTTGTGATTTAAAGATGCAGCTCTTGCTAACATAAAAGCATCAGACTTAATCTGTCTCTTCCTGCCAGATGATCTACAGCTTTGAAAGTATGATGTTCCTTCCACTGCAGTGTGAAGCATTTAATATTTGCTATGAGCATTTTGTATTAGCCAATTGTTTTTGAAACTCTGCTATATTGTTCCCATAGCTGTCATTACTCCCTTGCTTTGATAAGGATCCCTTTATTTGTTTTTTAGTTAATTTAATTTTATACAGTTTTGCATTAATTGCTGTGGACTTAATTTGCATGCAAACATTAATATGTAATTCCATAAGTAGCCCTGTTTTGTGCTGACCTTCTTACATACTCCTGTGAATGGATTCCTCTAATCCCCTTGAAAACAGTTGTATTGACCAGTATTATCCTCTAATTTTTTTTCCTCTTTCTTTCCTTTGTCCTAGATTCTCTGATACGTATTCAAGAAAGTCTCAGTCAGGTATTGGAGTGTGAAGCATTGTCTAAATCAGGATCATCAGAACTATCTTCTGTCAGTTCTACTGGTAAGGTTAAGACCTTGGTGCCTGTTGGGGTTTAAGCTCGGCAGCAACCACAGCTGCTTGATTACTCCCACACCAGCCCCTTCACATGTGGGATGTAGAGGAGATTTGGAAAAGGGTAAAACCTGTAGGTTGAGGTAAAGACAGTTTCGTAATTGAAATCAAGTAAATATAGTAATGATGATGAAAAGGGAGATAAGAAAAACAGAAAAGAAGAACAAAACCCAAGAAAAACAAATGCTGTAAAATACAATTGCCCACCACCTGCTCACCAACCAACTCTCCAGTGGAGATCAACCCCTCACAGCCATTTTCTCCCAGTTTGTTTGCTAGGTATGCCATTCTGTGCTCCTTGAATTTTTTTCCCTAGGATCCCTGTTGTGACCTGAGGAAAACAGCACACCTTATGTTGTCTGCTCCCCTCACAGCCCACAGACACAAAATAATGGAAACTAAGTAATTTAAGCCAGAACAACTTGAGAATATTTGTAGCTAAGAAACAACCAGAAACTCTTCTGCAGGTTCTGTTTAGGAAGTCATGCAAGAGATGTACAGTGTGTGTGTGCTCTCAGGGAAAGACTAACAGAATATCCTCAGACCTCCAAGGATGGTAATTCTTAGCAAGTGATGGGCCTGAACTAGAACTGCAGAATGGTATCCTGATTTACAGTTTAAGGGTGTCAGAACTATTTCCTGCTTCTGTGTCTCGAATTGAAGATTACATGAAGTGACAGCAGTGTTTTGGATTGGGCTGTGTAGCTCTTCAGTTTTTTCTTATAATGGTCAGTCTAATATCTCTGTCCTGTTAAAAAACTTGAATGTATGGTCCTTTAATGTTTGTTTGCAATCTGGTTATCTACTTGAATGAGAATGAGTTAGCTTTAGTGAAACTGAGATTTTTGTTCTTTTTAGTTTAATATGCATGTACAGAGAAGGTAGCTTGCAGGGCTGCAGTGAGTGGCATGTTGAACTTTTTAATTAGCCTGCTGTGTGACTCACATCATGTAAACTAAAAGCCTGTCTAATACTGTAAGCTTCATTCAATGAGTATTTCGTTGTTGGGGGTCGAAGGTCTCAAAGGCCACGCTTAAATTCCTGCCTCTGTGAACCGATTTCCCCACAGCAGATTGAAAAGGCAGCCAGAATAGCGAGGGCCAGGCCTGGCCATGCCACATCTCTCCTGAGATAACAAAAGAAACTCCCAGTCTTCAGGAATGTCAACACTGGACATACTTAAGATTCTATTTTATGCTGTATTGCTTTTTAGTATCCAATGACCATGGTGTATTTTTTTCTTCCTCCCCCAAGTCTCTGCTTGTGATACAAGAACAGATGTTGACACACTGTCTTATACCTCTCTAGTTTTTATGAAGGTCTCTTAATAAGTACATTCTCTTCCTTGTCAGCATTGAAGTGCTATAAGTTTACCACCTTACAATCTTAGTTTAAAGCATATATATTCCTTATACAATGTTATTCTGCCATGCCTAGCTGAAATATAATGGTAGTAGTCATCTTGTGAGGCAGAAAGATCTTACAGCCTCATTGAATCTATAGTGTTTTCTGGTACTTGAGACTCTATTAAACAGCTTAAATCCTATTCCATGTTTTTCTTGGCCTGGCTCATTTTTAGGTGTAACCATATCTGCAAGCCCCAGAGACAGGAGTCTGCAGCAGAACTTGCTTCCTCAAGAATTTGTGCCTCCTGAGAAGCCACCACCAAAGCAGCAATGGATACCTGATGACACTGAAACTATATGTATGGTTTGCAAAACGGAACGCTTCACTATGGTAAGGAGAAAAAATGAAGTACAGACATTCCTAGAACTGTGACCTTAATACAAGCACTTCCTCACAGTCTGTTTCCTGAAAGACCTGAGCTACTTTAGGAGTTTTGTCTGCATCACCATGAGCCCAACAAGATTGCCAGTCCTTTGGTATTTAACCACTGGTTTCTATTTAGAGTCGTCGAGGAGACTGGCAACAGTTAGCTCTTTGCAGAGTTCTGTGAAGTGATAGAGCCTAAAGAGGAAATCTGGTCATCAGAGAGAAGACAACTATGGGATCTCAAAATTGTGTAACAGCAGCAGTATTAATATTCCAAAAGGTTTTCTAGCTGACTCTGCTGGCAAGAAATAACATGATCACTGTATGATTCAGATTTCAAATATAGAAAATTAAATCTTTGCTGTTGGTTGCACTTTTCTAAAAACTGTTGTTTCACAGGGTACTTGAGCAACTGCATTGGTGCTCAAAGGGAGAGCATAATTTTTTAATTTTGCAGGTGTGCTAGCAGTCTGTAATCTGCTGCTCAGAATCAGTACTGTTTTCTCAAAAGTACCTGTTGCTTTTGAATTTGGAAATTTCATTTGGAAATGGTATCAGAAAAACAGTCCAGAGCTTTTAACTTTTCCAGGACATGGTCTAATTAGCTTTGTGATTGAAACTGGGATAATTCAAGTAATAGAAAGCACAAGGCTGTTACAAACATATTTTAAATACTGCCCTGTGGGTTTAGGGTTTGATTTCTTTTTTCTTTGCTACACTTTCTTCAAAAAGGAATTTTAACAGGGAGAATCAATCACTGTATAATTCTGAAAAGCCTTTTCCTGCATGTGGTTTCCCCTCTTCAAATGGAATAAGTTTACTCAGAGATACAGGAGAGGATTTCAGTAAATTCTCTTTGTGGCTCATCCATGACCTCTTCTGCTTAGTTTAACAGGCGCCATCACTGCAGGCGCTGTGGCAGGCTGGTGTGCAGCTCTTGCTCCACCAAGAAAATGGAAATAGAAGCTTGCAGAGAAAATCTGTCTCGTGTATGTGATCAATGCTATAGCTACTACAACAGAGAAAACATGCCTGGCTTGGTGCAAGACACAAGCACGTAAGTCCTTCTATCCTAGTTCTCCTCAATTTTCAGCAGAGTGCATGAATGGAATGAGAGAGACATAGGCATTTGGATTTATGTGGGTAATGTAACATCAGCTGTTTGGCCTCTAGCTTTTGGGATTTTCAGGTTTGGTAGGTGTGGGAATGTTTCTTATGCCTCACTTTACTTTTCACATTGGAAAGAACATTGGAGGGCTGGGCAACAATTCTTTAATTCTTTAAGTATCAGTAATTCTTTAAGCATCAATTAATCACTAACCCTAAGAATTGAATGCTTTGATGCAAAACATAGCACAAATTGCTACAGTGTGACAAAGTTTCTTGCAGTATACTCAGCTCCTGGATTAATATTGCATGTTGACTAGCTCTGCTGAACATATCAGTGTATTAGTTGTTCCATAATCCCTTGATTATGGCTCCCTGAATGCTTGGGAATTAAAAAGGAAGTTTCTGATTAGATAGGCTTTGAAACTGCCTTTAATAAAAGGGACAGATGTGATGACATTTTCATGATGTGATTGTTTTCAGCTCAGAATTGGACTGAAATTCATTGTGTGTACACAGCTGGTGAAAAACACAGCTGAAAGGAGTTTATTCTCTATGACCTTGAGCAGGCTTTACAGGGTAACAGAGAGTAAGATTTACCCTTTCCAGCCATGCTTCCAGATGCATTTCCCCTTTTCCATCGAGCCAGCAGTATCCACTATGGCAGTATCAGCAGGCTTCCTAGGAAAAGAGCAATCTGTGCAGATCTGAAGGGGAACCTGTGAAAAAACAAGCAGTCACTTGCAGATGCAAGTTGTGTCAGAGTGGTTGCCAGATTAGGCCAGCAGTGATCAACACTGTGCTTGAATGCCTCCTGCCAGGTTTTAATTATTTGTCTGGGTATTTTTATACTCAACCTGTTGGTATATCAAACCCAATTAAATCTTAAGGACAGAGACTTGGATACCAAAGGCTTCATTTTAGCTCTGACTTGTCCTGATACTGGGCAGTTCTTATTCTCAGTGTTTGCTTTTTTCTGACATGTGTAACAGTGCTGTTCCTACAGAAGGTCGTAAGAGCCAATTACTTTGTGCAGTTGAAATACAACAATACAGAGGCAGAAGCTTAGATTTCCAAACAGAAGGGATTAGGGGCAGGGCAGTGTGTGAAAAAGGACCGGTAGGGATAGGTGTTGGATCTTTACAGAACAGTGTTCTGAGGAAGGTTGCCATACTGATGTCTGCCTTAAAACCATGTTTTCCCCAGCATGCTGGAGTAGACATGATGGTTCTTTCTGTCATTTTATTACAGCAGAAAAGAAGATCAGGACCAAGTGGAAGGTAAGGAATGGAGTAACATTCAACGACAATTTTTTGAAGTTCTGATTAGCAGTTAGATACTGGAAGCTAGTTGCAGCTAAAGGGTCATCAAAACTTCAGTTGCAAAGTATCACTCATGGTGTTTTGCATGTGCAGGCTTAAATTGAACATTTCAAACTTCTGTGAATAGAAATTGAGACTTAGGAGAGGTATCTGAGCCAATATTGGATGTGTTGGATGGTTGTTATAGAAAGGAACTGAAAAAGAGTTGGAGAATCCACTTTTCCTTCTAGAAATGGTCAGTGAGAGGCAGTGGTGTGAATGGAAATTAATTTGCTCACTACAGAGCAGTGCTGAGAGATCCTCTTTTTATAAACCATGACAATTCTGAGCACCACTGCAGTGTGCTGTGGTGTTTTATACCCCTGCCTAGAGGTAGCACAGCATGAGACCCCTCTCATGGTTGTGTCCTGAGTTCCATCTCCTGTGTTGATGGTGTGAAAATAGTAATTGCATTTTGGTGCCTCTATTTCCGAATCTAATATCTTAAGCTTCAGGAATAAGAGCAAAATTTGACTTTTTCTCTCTCATTTTTCCTCAGGAGGTATTTACTGTTTTGGTATTTTGGGTGATTCTGCAAAATTTTCCTACACTGATGTAAAGTTCTGTCAGAACAAGACAAAAATTATTTGAAGTGCTTGTAACAGTAGCATGAAACATGGTGCAAAATTTGCACTTATGTAATAACAAAGCAAATAAGAATATTTTTCCTTATTTGTTCCTTTTATAAGTGTGGTGGGCTGTTTGAGAATCTTTTCCCCTGCTGTTGATGGAAATTTGCTTTACTGCTACCTTTGTTTCAAGACTGAAACAGTTGAAATTTAGTTTTTGTGTAGCACTGCTACACATTACTGGACCTATGTGATCCATTCAGTGAAGTGGATAAGAACAATCTGGAAATCCTCAGATATAAGAGGGAAAGAGTTTTATTTTGGTTTTTTAACTTATCTGGTGTGACTGTGAAGAAGGCTTATCAAATATTTTCTAGCTCAGTTTATTTTTGCCAGTTCAGTTTCCAGTTCAGCTTGGAAAAGTGTAAGGGGGATGTTGAAGTTTGGTTTGGTTGCTTTGGTTTTTTTTAAATTCACTCTACAATTTTAGTTACTCAGTGCAAGAGGGATGTGAACTCTAGATGAGTAGGTTTTGAGACTTCCTAACTTTTTTTTTTCCAGAGGAAGCTGGTTGGGGAAAGAATACTAAATTGTCATTATTCTCCATTTCTTGGCATTGTGAGATTGGCCATTGTTTTCTTGGAACCACAATCACAAACTTGAGCATCACTATTTGATTTATAACTATTCTGGGTAACAAGTTTCAAAACAAGTATTTCCTTGATCTGGAGGAAAGAAAACTACTTTTCACAGAAATTGTATATCTTGAATAATTTGATCAGAACCCAAATTTCCTACAGTACTATTTTATAAGAAAATTTACCATTAGGATTTAGGTCATCTTAAAATCTTTTGGCTTAAAGCTCATGGACTCTATAGTCAAATCACCTGAATTTTGAAAAGAACATAGAGGTGGTTAAGCCAATTTACCCTTTCATTTACAACTGTTTTTTTATTTTCTCCTTTGAGATGAAACCCACAGCTCTCATATTTCCAGTCCTTCCTGTTCAGAAATATTTAATAAATTGCCTGAGGGAAGGCTGACGAGGGAAGGCTGCTGTGCTTGATGCCCAGTAGCTTAAGAGTTAAAAAATCATTTGAAAATACATTACTGGAACCAGGTTTTGGTAGCAGTGACAGTAAGTTTAGGTACGATTTGGCAGCCTGCTGAGGGAAGGAAATGTTTCTGTGATCTGTGCTGGACATGTGATGCTGCCAGGAAATGGCACAATGAGAGGATTATAGATGATTGATTTTTGAGAGATAGGAATGTTCTGCATTATGTGTCCTTAGCTGGGTTTGTTGCTTCTCGTGCAATGATTTTACCTGGTGCTTTCTTTTTTGCTGTAGAAACTTCTAATAATGAATATTCCACAGTGGTACGAATACCCAAGGCAACTGATCTTGAATGGATTTTTTCCCTGAATGAAGAGGAGAATGAAATCGTACGCAGCGAATTTTATTATGAACAGGTGAGGTTGGGAGAGAGTCCAATATAAGCAGTTCACTGGAGAACTACCTCAATACCTATATTTGTCTGTCTTTCCTCAAATTGTCAGGCTCCCAGCTCTTCCCTGTGTATTGCCATCCTTAGCCTGCACAGTGACAGCATAGTGTGTGGCCACCAGCTGATAGAACACTGCTGCAAGTTGTCCCAAGGGCTCACTAATCCTGAGGTGGATGCTGGACTCCTCATGGACATCATGAAACAATTGCTCTTCAGTGCTAAAATGATGTTTGTAAAAGCTGGAAGGAGCCAGGACCTAGCTCTCTGTGACAGGTGACTTAATCAGATATTCACTAGGATGTATTGTGGTACTGTCAAGAGCATTATCTTTTTTCACTGAGGTGTGGAGGTGGAAGGGTTATTTTGTGGACCAGTTTAAATGAGAAGTTCATAATGCAGGAATAATGTGGAAGTTCAAATAGGAGAAGGTCAAGCAGTATGACTAATTAATAATTACTGAGAGAATTCTCTTCCTAGGAAGAAATTACTCACAAAGATGGGTGCATATTTTACTTCTAATATTGTTTATCTGCTTTCAGTCTGTATTTTAATATAGGGTTTTAAACCTGTCCTTCCTGAGAATGAACATTTTACACTTCACGTTTTGTCCTACAGAGCTTGAGGTGGCAGGTGTGAAATACAAGTTTCACATGAATTGCTTTGATTTGATAAGATAGAGTTGGTGTCTTCAGTCAGTGTGTTACACTGAACATGGCAAAGAAAGCCCAAACAATAACAAATGCTCTGACAGGGATAGTATGATGGATAGAGAAACCTGGTGTACTGGTGGTTAGAAACCACTGTCCTAAGAGTTGTCTTTGACATAAAGTTCTTTAATGTACGGTAATAATGAAAACATGTGTATTTATGTTTATTATTATTATTTATTATTATATTTATGTTATTATGTTTAACTTGTAGCTACATCAGCAAAGTGGATGTGTTGAATATTTTGGTTGCTGCTGCCTACCGTCCAGTGCCATCTTTGGATCAGATCCTTCTCCCAGCAGCAGTAACGAGATTGAGAAATCAGCTTTTGGAAGCAGAGTACTATGAACTAGCTATAGAGGTAATGCTGGTGGAGGGATGTCAGTGTTAATTCTTCTTTAGTGGCTTTTGTTTTCCTCCCTCCTGAATTCACATGGATGTGATGTATGAAATGGATAATATTTAAACAGTTACAAACTGAGATTAGATTTCTAAACTTGGAAGAAATAATTTCCTGAACATTGGAAAAAATTTTCTGAGACGGAAAGTCCTGCTGTGGAGCAGGCTGCAGAAGGGAAGGATAAGTGGCCTTGTGTCCTGGAACAGTTAAAATTGGAATGGACTAACTGCAAGGAAGTCTTTAAATGAAGGGATCTTACAGCCAGTAGAAGGGGTGAGACACCCTTTGTGGCAGGACTTTATCTGAAGCTTAAATGTTAGATTCTATTTGTCTGTAATCTGACAGCAGACATTGGTAAGGCACCTTTCCCAACCATTTACTTGGAAATCAGCAATGTTGGCAAATCTATACATCAGAGCCCATCTGAAGTGGTTTATCATCAGCTAATCCTGCTCCCAGGATTTTGTAAGCCTCTCTTTTTTGGCATTGTACTTTGTTAAATACAGGATTATGATACTACAAATAGTATTAAGATTTGTTAAGCAGTAATAAACAGCAAGAATAGATGACCTATTTGAATAGAAATAGTTCTTGTTTAAAAGCAGCTAAAAGAGCTTTAGGTCTACTAAATAAATCCAGGAATAAAATTTATCAGCAAAGTTGGAAATAAAGTATGAAATAAATAAATTCTTGACAGTTCATGAAGCATCTTCTGTTGCCTTTTTAAAAACCACAAATCTGAAGAATTCTGCTCTGTAAAAATCATCGCCTTTAGAAAAGCAGATGTGAAAATGTCCTGGTTTAGAACTCATGAACTGAAACTTAGCAGATAAACAGTAGTTTAAACTTATACAATAAAAAATAACCTCCATATTTGGAGATCATGGGTGTTTTGGTAGTTCGTCTTTTGTTTGCCAGTAATATGGAAATAATCAGCATGGGTTTAGTTGTTTGTTTTTAATGGGAAATGTGCTCTAGGACAGGAAAGGTCAGAATCACAGACTGTGTGATAAGCCATTTTTCCTATTTGCTGTACTGGGACTATGTTGTAATACTAACAAATGATTTTGAATTTAGGTTTCTACAAAATCTGGATTGGATCCAGGTGGAGCATGGCATGCCTGGGGCATGGCTTGCCTTAAAGCTGGAAATTTAACTTCAGCAAGAGAGAAGTTTAATCGATGTTTAAAGCCACCCATGGATCTAAACCAGCTGAACCATGGTTCAAGGCTGGTCCAGGATGTGATACAGTACCTGGAGTCCACAGTGAAGCCAGTACTCATCACAGTAAGAATCTTCTCTGCCTGCTCTGAGGGGCTATGGCAAAGCCAAGTAATGATGGTTTAGTACACATCTTACAGCAATGCATGTTCCAATAGGAGGTGTTTGGGTGTTTATTTTTCTTCTTTGTCATAATTGTGTATTGCAAACTGAGTATTGCTGAAAAATTTTTTAGCTGTTACATCACATTGAAGTAGTGCCTGAGAACCAGATCATAGGATTTTATAGCAATTTGGGATGTACTTGGTGGAGGGAAAAGAGGCTGTACTGGATAATGTACTATATGTACTATATTACTATGGTCTATGGAAGCTAAAGTTAATCCCAGCAGTATTTTGTGATGCTGCAGTGATACAATTTTTCTACTGAAGCTCTAGTAACTTTACAAAAATTCAAAGACTTTCAAATGCTTTCCCACTCCTCTCATCAAAAAACACTATTAAATGGTTTGGAATTCTGATTAGGTACCAAAAAATTACTCTTTGTCCTAAATAACTGCAGAATCATGATAATGAAGGACCAAGTATGTATTTTAGGAGAACAAAAAAGCCTCTTTGAACTGGATTGCTGAAGTAACTGTTGACATTGGAATTTTTTTAAAGTAAGCCTTCTCCCTGTCCTTGGAAACAGCTATGCTGGGTACAGCAACATTCAGCACATCTGTTGATAGCAGGGTTCCAGTCTAGTGTTTATAAAAAGCATTGCTGGATTCTCACTCCTCTGAAGCAATTTCTATTTTAAAAACAATAGTAATGGAAATGCAGCAGGGCTCTCTGAAAAGAAGGTTTTCTCTTGCTGATCACCTGTCATTGGTTCTCTGTGTTAATGGCAGGACGATGATTACTTTGCCACACTGAGGGAACTTGAAGCAACACTGAGGACAAGAAGTCTGTCTCTGGAGATGATGTGTGAGGGGAAGATTCAGCACAACAGCTATTATCAGGAGTGCTTGTTCTATTTGCACAGTTATGGCACTAATCTGGCAATAATAAGCTTTTACATGAGGCATGACTGTATGAGAGAAGCACTGCTTCACTTGTTAAATAAGGTGAGTAATTCAATTTTCATCACTGAAACTGAAACTTGAAAAACAGCCATGAGCATCATGCAGTGTTTGGGTGGTTTTCAGCACAGGGGTTTGCAGAGGTCCTGAAATGCTGTTACACAAACTATCCAGTGACTGACAAGAATTCAGTGAGACAGAAGAATATTGATCTTTACAGATCCAGAGAAGAGAACGTGCAGTTTTGGTCCTTTAATAGAGTTCCTGCATCAACAGCACTTTGTCTTTTTTTCTGTGATGTTGAAAACCTGGGACTGTTGTCATAGAGTTCACCTATGTTTGCATTTCTGTAACATCAGGAATATAAGGGAATACAGAGGACAGAAGTCTAGGGAACCCAAAATGTGGTTTCCAGTTCTCCCTTAAAGAAACTGTGTAATATAAGAAGACATAAGTATCTCTGGAGTAAACAGTTCCATTGGTAAACTAAATTAAACTACAATTAAATCTAGAAATTATTCAAAGTTCTTACTAAGACATTAAGGATGCTTCTTAGGAGATGTGAATCCACTATATCTCACCAGCTTATTAGAGTGTGGTGTTTCCTTTGTTTCCTTTTCTAAGTTGCTGTGTTTGTGTTTGAATTTCTAATTTTTTTTTATTATTATTTGAAATAACTCTTAATGAGAATGTACAAATTGAAACACCAACTTCCATTATCTTTATCTGGCTATGAGGTTTGTTAATAGAAAATTAAGATGCCTTATCTGCTCTGCTTTCTCATTGTACCATCAGTCATTCTAAACTCTTATAGTCATCTGCATATGGAATTACCTTTTTAAATGTATCTTTTACATCAGTTTAAATCTGCTTTTAAAGAAAAGTTGTATATTTTTACAGTGTGGGTGATTTAATGTCACATCTTTAGTAGCAGACTTGGAAAATACTCTAGACAGAGAATTTGATGCAGAAATTTTGGACAAGGAACTGGTAGTAGTCATACAAACCAGAGAGGAGGATTTGTTCCCCTAAAGCTCTAAGCTTCTGACTAACATTTTGCAGTTGGTTGTTTGGAGACATTTTATGTGTGCAGACATTGTCACTTGTATCTTACTCTGAGATACAAAAAAAATTTCAAAAATTTCATAACAAACCTTTAAAACATTTGTGGTGGCCCTGTTGACACATATTAATGTTACTGTGGAAAGAAGCACATGCGAGGCTGCAATTGCAAGACCACAGTCAAGAGGTCAAGGGAAGTAAATATTCCCCTCAGGTCACTACTTGGAAGGTTTCATCTGGACAGCTGTGCCCAGTCCTGGGTTCCCAAGTACAAAACAGACACTGTCAAAGTGAAGCAAGTCTAATTGAAGGCCACCAAAGTGTCTAGGGGCCTGAAACACCTGATACTTATGGAGAGTGATAGAGGTAGGTTTTTCCTGCTGGAAGAAAAGGCAAGAGGAGATCTGTGTGCTGTTTTAAGCTGCCAAGTGGATGATTATAGCAAAAATAGAGCCATGCTTATCTCATATGTGCCCAGTAAAAGGGTAGGAGGCAGTGGACACAACTGGGAGCAAGGGAAATTGCAACTGGATATAAAGAAAGAGGTTTTGGGTTTGTTTTGGGTTTTTTTGGTACATATATTTAGACATGGAACCAGGGCCAGAGGGAGGCCTTTGTCATGCTCAGAACTTGACTGAACAGGTCCAGAGCAGCATGATCTAACTGGGAAGTCATTCCTGAGTGGGATTTTGAATGAAATAACTCCCAGAAATCCCTTCTGATCTAAATTATTTATCAATTTTATGATCTCTGTCACTTAATATGCCTTTGTATGACATAAGGAAAATAAGCTACAGTGGCTTTGCTTCAGGCTACTTTCTGTTTGTGTAGGAATCCCCATCAGAAGTGTTTATTGAAGGGATCTTCATTCCAAGTTATGAAAGTGGAAAACTGCATATGTTGGAGAACTTACTGGAAACCATTGATCCAGGATTGGAAAGCTGGGGAGTCTATTTGATTGCAGCCTGCAAATACTTGCAGAGAAAGAACTATTACCATATTCTGTATGAACTGCAGCAGTTCATGAAGGTAAGTTGAGGACAGTGCCATCTCTCTCAATGAAGTGCTGAATGCTGTCAGACTTTTGGTCATTTACTTTGGTCTGAACCTGCATGCTGGACAAGTATTTTTTGCCTCTTTACAGTCGTAGAAAACATAGAAAGGCCTGAGCCTTACTAAAACTGACCTGATCCATGTCATGGATCTGGCACATTGTATCAAAGAAAACAGCATTGCCTGCTCTGTGAGCCCTTCAGTGCAGACAGTGATGCTGAAGGAGGTGTCCTGTGGTCCCTCTTAGTGACGAGTGCATTTCTTCCAGGATCACGTTCGTGCTGCAATGACCTGCATTAGATTTTTCACTCATGGAGCAAAGTCTTACACTGAACTTGGAGGAAAACAGACATGGCTTCTAAAGATCAAGGACCATCTCAAAGTCTATCTGCAGGAGGTCTCAAGAAGTTCAGGAAGGAAAAAAATGACATTCACTTTTCGGAAGAAAATGTCTGCTACGGATGTGTCAAGGTATCTATAAACAAGAAGCTAAGTTTTAGGAGAGGTAAATGAAATTCAGGCTTTACACTTTGGGGTGTTTCTTCATTTAATTTAAGTTGGCTTTACCTAACACTGTCCAAATCTGCTTTTATGTAGTTACAGGTGTAGGATTCCCATCACTTTTTCCCCCAACAGTCCAAACTAGGAGATGGGCAGTTGTTTCTATCAAAAATATGTATCTGTATCAGACTACCTGCCTTTAATTTAAAAAAAAACCAGGAACCCTACAGTTCATAGACAATTATACATCATTCCACAAATGCTTTTTCTCTTCTTCTCCAAAAAGCAAGCAGCTTTGTAGTGCTTTACTGTCTACTGAGGTTAACTCAAAACACTACACTATGTACAAGCTATAGGTGCCAGAGGAAACTGGATTCCTGTATTCAAAAGTAAGAGTGTAAATTTAGCCAGATCTCCCTTGTCGTTGGGGTTTTATATCTTGGTTTTCTTAGGAGCTTTTTTCTTTCTTTTTTTTTAGGCTGGACTCTTAACTTAAACTGGAAGGGCATGTGTGTGATGAGGTGAAAAAGCAGGAATAGATATTTATTTTGTGATCCAGTTTCTCTGTCTCGCTTCTTTGAAATAATGTGAATAATTGCTCAACTTCAGCTTGTGATGCATGTTAAGTGCACAGATCTGAAAAGTAATGTTGCTGCAGACTTGTACAATGGACAAAGTCAAAAAGCAACTAAAATAATTGTTTATAAGTATGTCTTCTTTTGAAAGGTATTGAAGAAATTAGTTCATATAAATAACAATTGACACTTTCCCTGTTACAAAATAAAGTCAGATTTTTTTTTTCACTATCTAGGCACATCAATACAGTTGATCTGCAGATGGAAGTAACGAAGTTCCTGCATCAGTGTGAGAGCTCAGGAGCTTCTCAAATGACAGATTCCTCCTTGCCCACACTCTTTGGAAACAACAACATGAAAATGGATGTTGCTTGCAAGGTACTAATTGCTATTTTAAAAACACAGCTCTATTTTTTATCAACAATACTAACTCATAATGGAGGTTGAATCATTTAATGGCTGGAGCAGTTTCTTATATTTTTTATGGGCAGGTTACTTATGCATGAATGCAACCCATATTTATGAAAAATCCGTGTTTTCTCTCAAAGTAGCAGAGAACGTGTGAGAACTTGGAGCTCATCTCCTCAAAGTTCAAATTTTCAGAGGCAGAGCATCCAAAATACAAATAGTAATATTCCTTTTGTCTGTGCATCCCATTATGTTTGGAATCAAGGCAGATAATGCTATAATTCTAACCATTCTTAACTTTGGCTCATCTCCATCTGTATATTGCCTAATGTTCCTCAGGGAAGCAGTGTGTGACCACAGACCCTATAATTTGCTGTACTTCTTGGGATGGTGCTCTTTTCTGTTGAAGTAATGCATTTTCTTTTGGCCTCTGGGCAAAATCTGGATTTGCATTAATATTATTTAACTGTACATAATGAAAAAGGAATGTGCATTCCCAGACTTGTCTATGCCTCTTTTTTCAGGTCATATTGGAAGGCAAAAACATTGAGGAGGGGTTTGGGATTGCATTTAGAGTTCTCCAGGTATGGAAAAACTTGATATAACAAACAATATTATTACAAAGTAATTCCTGAAAGCAGCAATTATTTAAACAAAAGCCTTTTTCCCCTCCAAATATGTTTTAATCCCCAGCAAAGAAAAACTTGCTGAGAGGAAGGTCACAAGTTTAAGTCTTATATGTCTATGTATTTGTGGAAGTTTGGTAAAGAAATTAAGTTGCTTTTTCATTCAAATGTAGGACATTTCCAGAGTAATTGGGTCCTACTAAGGAAGGTCCTACTAAGCTTTTCCTTTGCTGGGCACCTTGTTCAGTGTTTTAACTCCAGCAAACCACAGTCATAGATGTGTGTAGAGACCTCTCACGTGGTAGCTCTCTGCAGTTCATGACCATCGTGCAAAGACAGTGAATAAATAAGGTCAGGGCTCTCTCTGTTCTGTTCTCCTGATTTGAGAGCAGAATTAATTAACTGGAAACTCTCGCTGGGGACCTTTCATTGCTCGTGTCGGGTAGGAATTGAGTGATTATCAGTCAGCGTAGCTCATGAGCCTTCAAATTCTTCTCATTGTTTCTCATCAATAAAGTCCCAGACAGTAGAGCAGGGCACTTTTGGACAGAGGTGGCACACTGAAAGAATATTTATGGATGTGGCAGGCCCTGCTCCTTCTTTCATGGATGTAAAAGGCAGAATTTCTGTCTGTAGGGAGATGGAGAGCCTTAGAAAAACAGCACTTCTAAGCAGCAGCAGCAGCCACTATCTCCAGTAAAAATGAAGGAGCAAGTCCAGCTGCTATCACTTCCATTTCCATCCTTATTTTTGGCTTTACTTGCTCATTGCAGGATCAGTTCACAGCTTTTATCATCTCTTCCCTCATGTGGATGGTGTACAATGGTCAATTGCCGCCTGTTTGAGGTATCCAGAGGGTGACTGCAGGTGGAGGGGCTGGAGAAATATAGTGTGAACATGCTAAGTTAGGGAGAAGTGGGTAGGGATCTAGGAAAGACTTTTTGTCAGAAGAAATAAAACTGATTTTTTGCCGCTCCTGAAAAGAAGGCAGTAACAGCACTCTTGTTCTTAAGCAGGATTGATTTTTACAAATCTGGTTATAAAAAGCTTTAAGTTAACCCCGAGCAGTGGTGAGTAGAAAACTAGAGGCTCCCAAAAAGCTTTGACTTTTTGGAGTGTGGTGTGGTATTTTGTCTTTAGGAGAGACTGTCTCAGTTGTGTAGACTCCCTCTGAGCAAACCTGCTGAGAACATTCAGTGTGTTGCTCTGATGTTCCAACTACCTCTAGGACTTCCAGCTGGAGGCTACAGAAGTGTACAGCAAAGTGGCCAAGCATCTGGTGAAGCAGCAGAAGTACAGCGAGATCCAGCAGCTCCTGAAGTGTGTCAATGAGTCTGGAGTGGCAGCAAAAAATGATGGGGATAACATTATCCTAAACTGTCTAAATGAGTTCAAAAACATTCCTGCTGAGGTAATTCTATCCTCCATTGTGTCCCTTTTGAAGTAAAAAGGATATAGACAATACAGGCTACAGGGAAGTCTGGTGCCTGTACTGCTCTGTTAGTGAGTCCTTCGGATGTTCTGGCTCCATACTACAGGCACAGCTTAAAGGTGGGAGTGTGTGGTTTGCCTTGTATGAGATACTCTGAGAGGAAACCATAAGTAGCTATAGCACACTCCTACCCTGCACTTCCCAAATGGATACCCTGGGAGGGACAGAACATTTGCTTCACAAGATACTGTCAAATGCTGCTGATTGCAGCAGGAGGTGTTCCCTTCAGTGAGGCTTTCCTGGCTAACACAGAGGATGTGTGGAGGCAGAAACCTCCTGCCTCCATAGGGACCAATTTTGTGATTACCACAGTGTTTTTTCCATCCCAGTGAAGGAAGGAGATGCATTCTGCTAGTTCTGTTAATTAGATTAGGGGATGCAGCTCACTCTTTGGGTCAGGGCGGGCCATGGGGTTACTCCTTCTGGGGTGCAGGGAACCTACAAATTCATTTCCCACAACACAAGCCATGTCCATGAGAGACTCAGCATTCTCTAGGGATACCCCCAGAGATGACAGGCAGGAAAAGCTGTGGGTAAAGGGAAAACTTGGATTTAGTATTTTTTTGTATTTTCTACATCTGCAACTCTCAAGTTGGGACAGTCTAAGCACCTGTTGTGATCTCAGCAGCCCTGCCTGCCCACAGGGGTTTGATCCCTGATGGGGTAAAGTTTTGCAGACTGTTATCACTTTACATGTGAACACCTTTTCCCTTTTTTGGATACAGGATCTCGATAATCTGATTCAGGATATGGACAGTGATGAAAACAAGGTAAGTAAAAGCACATAGAAAGAGCTAAACAGCCGTCTTGTCTGCAGCTTGCAGGGTCTTTTTCACTGTCTTCTCTCTCATTCTCATGCAAGTAAGATTTTTGAAGGCTAATTCATGGATTGCAGAAATCAGAATGAATTCCTCAAGGCCATGGTGTTTGTGTAAAGCTGTGATATGCAGGTACTAATTGGGACTTTCCCTATTAGTTCCCTGAGAGCCCTCAGAGTGAGGGCTAGAGTGCCAGGAAAAGTATTTCAGAAAGGCACATTGGTGGGTTTGTTGGTTTTGTTATTGAACTTTTCACATAGGTGCATGTAAGTTTCTAGTAATGGCAGACAGCTAATGCTGATCACTTCAGCTTATAGTTTCAGGATTATACTATTTCTGTGGTGATTGAGAGTTAAATGATAAAACTTCCCCAGCTTCTGATAGACTTTTTCTTTTAGAGGAAATGAAGCCTAAACTAGTTTATTTCTTTGTTGGCTTTCAAAGCAGCCAGCCAAGCCACTGGAGAACTGTAGATGCCTGTTTATAGAAGTGGCTGTGATTTAGCATTTAGGGATTGTTGTAGATCCTGAGTGGCATAGCTAGGAATAAAATCTAAAGATTTGTGATAGTCCTCTGTCTGCTCTGAATGACAAACTCACTGTTGTAGGCAGATTAAAAAGTGGGCTTTTAATTCTGCTTTTTTGTAAGATCTATCACTGAAAGATGGGAGTTGTTCTAGAACCAACAGTGGAAGGAAATGACAGACTCTGATTCTTTGCCATGAGGATACTGTAATTAGTGCATGAGATAGGTGTATTTTATTAAGTTTGTGTCTTGTAGACACTCCTTTACTGTATGAACATGAAATTAGTATCAGGAATCCTATTTGCCCATCTTTTCCACTGGGATCTGCTTCGTGCCATGCTGTTTGGTAATGTGGCACTACTGCCTCTTACAACACACTTCTGACCTGGCTATTCATGAGTCCCTGCTTAAGCTTGTCCAGTGAGTTTGCTGCAGCTTTCTGGCCAGGCTGTGACTGTGTGTCGTGCTGCAGATCCAGGCGTACCTGATGTGCAGCAAGCTGCGCTCGGCGTACCTGGTGTCGGTGCGGCAGGAGAAGGCGCGCGCCGTGCAGCTGGTCCAGCGCGTGCGCCAGCTGGCCGAGAGCAGCGGCGACCACGTCGTGCAGGCCATCTGTGCCCAGTGGCTCGCAGTGCACCAGCCCAAGGTGAGAAATCGGCTTCCCCAGGGCACCAGGAAGTAACGTGGGACTGACACGCGCCATCGTGCTGAAGGAGGAGGCTTCAACACAGAGCAAAGGTGTGTGGCTCAGCAGCCTCCAGGTGAAATGGAGCTCTCTTGACTGGTGTCGGTGGCAAATGGATGCTGCTAATGTGCCTCTGGTGAAAGGAAGGGAACTAAATTACAAGTGCCAGTCGTGTATTTTGACAAACAGTCGCTACCTCAGGGTGTTCTTCGGCTCTCTTTTTGGTGCGGGGAGGGGGGCAGTTTCAAACTGAACAAGCAAGGATTTAGATGTGTGGAAGAGAGCACTTTTGTTTCCGGCTTTAGTTTTTCGTTTTGTTGGTTTTTAATTTTTGAGGGGGTTGATATTTTTTGAAAAGCACTGAAATTAATAATATGTGTTTTATTTTTAATCCAGAAAACATACGTAGAGAGGACAGAAAAATTTTATTAACTCGATGTAGCCTAGAGTATAAAATTTTTGTGATGTTTCCTGTAAAATTTTCAAGATTGGAGAGTTTTTCTGTTACTAAGACTAAAACTCAGATTTTTTTTTTTTTTTTTTAAAGCCTCTAGACAAATCATTGCTACTTCTCTTTTAGGCCCCGCCCACCACTAGCACAATGTACCCATTTTTTTTTTAGTTTGTTTGAAAAGGTAGGAACTGATTCTTTATGGCAGATTTGTACTTACCAGTCACACTGTGTGATGTGTGCCATAGATGTGGCACTTGGGCTAGTGCCAACTAGATGAATGAAGTTATAAAGGGCATATCCTGTAAGGGGAGTACAAAGGGAAAATAAGCCTTTAAAATAGTTGAAAAATCACGTGCCTCTTTCTTTACTATGGTAATACCCAATAAATCATTGTGATGCAGCTTTTTGACTGAATAGTTGACAGTAAATTTCCACAGTTCTTCATCAGGTATAGCAAAGAATAAGGATAGAACAAGCTGTGGCAAAATTAAACAGGTGGTCTGTATCCCTGACAAATAGGGATGTATTTATTTATTACCAGGATAATTTGTCCCTGTCAAGTACAAAATACCAAACTGGACATGCCCTGTATTGACGGGTTTTGCTCTGCAAGTATTAGGTTAATCGGTTTTATGAAAAAAAGCAGCAATCTTTGGGTAATGTCTGTATTCTGGGATGCTGAAAAAAGGTAGCTGCTTCTCTGCAACTAGTATTGGGACATGAGAAACTGGCAGAAATGTGTTAGACAGTAGTAGGACCTTCAAAAAAACCAAACAAAACATGGCATTCCACAAGAGTTTGTGTTAACTGCTTACATGTATTTCAGCACAAGAAGTAGGAAAACTAATTCACTTTCTCATTTAAAAAGTTGTTTACATAAAAAAACCAACAGGCTTTCTGAAGTAACTGTAAATAGTTTTAGAACGTAAAATAATTGAGACTGTCAAGTAAGAGTTTTGCACTATCTCCAAGCTCACTGTCATGAAAGAACAGACTTCCATGGTATTGGAAAGGATGTGGCCCATCTTCTTCAGGGTTTCAAGAGCTGACACAAACACCTCTCTTTGGAGGTGCTCTGCTCACTAGAGCAGAAATGACTACATACAGCTTTCAGACTCCCCTGACCACAGGTCTGCATTATCTCATTAGTGAGCAGTACTAATGAAAGCTTTTGTTTCCTTGGCCAGACTGACCTAGCTTTCCATCAGGCTAATCCTAAAACGTGACACTACCTATGGCTTCAGTCATTTATAAATCTCTGATTATGGGGAGGAGATTTTACTGTGTGTGAGTATCCAGATCTGCATTGCTGTTCTGCTCACGTTTTTCAGCTGTAGAGAGCACTGAGAGTGGAGTTTGCCATGCAGACCCATCAGTTCCATACCTGCCTTTTTTCCTGACCTCTTTGCACTGTACCTGATGCACTTTATGTAGTGTTTATTGTAATTTCATGTTCTTAACCTGGAATCGTAGGGATCTTTCTTGTACCAGCAGAACTGGAATTTTGACCCTAATTAATTACCTTGTGTCAGGGGCTTTGAATTTTTGAACAGAAAAAGGGATTGAATACTGCCAGTTTAAAATAATTTCTCTGTTACTGACCAAGGTTTGTTTACAATTAAAAAAAAATAAAGTATTATGACTGTTACGTATTTTCCGTTTATTTTTTATCTCAGCAGAGCTAGGGGTCTCTTTGTAGATCTGCATTTTACTTTTGGCTATGCTTAACACAGTAATTAGAAGGGGGATAATTGTTCTATCATGCTAAATTTATCTGTTACTGAGTATCCTCAATATTTAGATTGACTGGAATGTCACATCTTTAGAAGTCCCCCCCAGCAGCTAGGTAGCCTAGGTAGTTCAGCCTCATGCATGTACTCAGTAATCCTCTTTGGGGAGCTTTGCAATTTAATCTAACTCTCCTTTACAAGCCTCCCTTTGAGACAGCTAAATGAGCTTTAGTTTCCTCATTTTTAACAGATCAGCTGAGAGGTATAAATTACTTGCTCAAGGTCAAAGAGAGTGGATGTATGTCTATGGAAATGTTTATTTAATATATTGTGTGTTAAATCTACAACCAGACTTCTCTGAGAAGAGCATTGACCTGCAAGGGAAAAAATATTTCACACCAGAGACACTTTTCTGCTTTTTTAAAAAATGGTTTCTCTTGCTCCTGAAGCTGCTTTCAACAACAGAGAATGACACAGAGACAGCAAGCTAAGGCTCCAGTGGTAGGTAACATTCTACTGCTACATTCTAGTTGTGCATTTAGCTTCATAATTGGGATGATGCATAAAGAGGGAGAGAAAAAAGGTAGAGTGACAGGGAGAAACACAAAGGAACTTTTAAAAATGTTACCTGGACTGAATTCTCTACATTAGTGAGGCAGGTGCAGATAACAGCAATACTAAGTAAACTGATTCAGCATTTCTGAAACAAGATACGGGGTCCTTGTTGTGAAAGGAAAATGGCTTTATTTAAGAGTATTGCTCAGAGGTAGCACAGGACTGATCTGCATAGACAGCATCCAGACAGGACTAATTAAAATTAGCATTTATTTTCCAAAACTGGCAGTTGGTCACAGTGGCAGGCTCATATGCAAGTCCAAAAACTTCCAGGCTTTTTTTCAGAAGCAGAAGATAATCCTATGAGCTGTGGTTTCTGACTGCTTAACTCTTCAGAAATAATCAGTGATTATGGATCACACTCCAGCAATTTGCACTCACGTAGCACTGGGAGCACAAGGGAGCAGCCCCAGTGCTATGTGGCCTGAGGCAGCTGCTTTGTGCAAGTGCAAGCTGTGTGGTCCTGCATGGGCAGGCTGGCAGCCTTGGCAACCAGTAACTGCTGGGCACACAAATGCAAGGACTTCTGTGCAAGTCTTGCCTTCCTGTCTTGGAGCCAGCTTGACCACAGTACCAACATAGTCCTGCCTCCTGCTTTAGCTATTTAGCTCTAAGGAGTTTGGTGTCATTTAAAGCTCAAGTCTCAGCTGAAGTTGTTTAATATTTTTTAACGTGGCTGAGATGTTCCTTATTCATTCTGCTGTATTTTCTGGGCTCTAAAATAATTTAAAGTGCAGCTGGGGGGTTTACTATGACAGCTTTCACACTGTCTTTGTTCAATGCTTCACAAGAGATGTTGATTTTATTAATAACTTGTCTGTGCACAATTGCAGCTCTCCTGCAGCTTTTAACCTCCTAGTCACCTGCACCAAAACCTGGGTTCTCAGATTTGCCAACCCTCAGTTAACTTACTGCAGTCAGTGGGTATTTAGGGCCAAGATACCTCAGTGGCCAGGTCCAGCTTCTTACAGAGCATGCAGAGAAAGTGATTCCATGTAAAAACTTTACCTAATGCTTGGCACAAAAAGGCCAGGACCTGTTTCTGTGTGCTTGAGAGTATTTGTATTGCATAACTTGCCAGAAAATCTAACTAAAGTATTTTTGCTCTGCCAGTTCAAAGGTAGGAACTAAAAGTAATCTCATAAATCCTAAGTTCAGAGTCCTACCATTTCTATTGCTGTTAGGAAAAAAAACCAACAAAACTTTATTTAAAGTAATTCCTTGTTACTTCATAATCTAAACCTAAGATTGCAACCTCCCTTTCTATTCTAAAGCCAGAGAACCATAGCCTCGAGCTGCTGTGTGAGATAACAAGCAGGTTGCTTCCTGCATCAGTGCTCTTAGTTCTCCAGCTAGGAAGAGGGACTGATTGCTTACAAATCTCAATCCTTAAGTGTAATATTCCAGAAATTCAAATTATGTTGTGCCCACGGAGCCATCCTTAGGGCAGCTGAAGTATTAGCATTCTACTCATGAGGTCTCTCAGCAGTGCTGTTCCCCAGAGAAGCCTCGCTGGGCCCAGCCAGGGACACTCGGTGCTGCTCAGTCCCACTGGATGCCAAGGAGCTCACAGCTCACACTCCAGAGCTTCTTTGCTATCTCATCATCCCGACCACGTGGAGACACGTATGCTGGCTGGCAATCACTGTAAGAAAAACATTCTTTTTATTCTTTCATGTCTAAGATCTCCATCCACATTAGTTTAATTCAAGACCAGTTCAAGAACAGTGGGAGGCTATCCAGCAAATGAGCAAGGGTTAGTGCTAAGCCACCATGAGAAAGATTTCTTTCCAACTAGCTAGAGAAGAATCTCTCCCAGTGGCACCAAGAACTGACAAGCAAGTCTAGCTCTATCTGTAGTCTCAACTCTTAAAAAACCTCACTAGTGTGCATTCTCATTAATACCACTAAAAAGGGATAGACACTCTAACCAGCCTTCTTCAGGAGCACATTTCCTAACAAACACTGCAAAAAAGTCACTTGAACAGCCCTTCATTCTAAACTATTTATCCCACTATATGCCCAAGAATAATAACACTGTAATAACCATGTATGGTTACTCTCTTTTCCATTATCTTCTGAACTGTGGCTTCTTTCTTCTCAGCTCCTCCAATCAGGAACCTCTCAGTCTGGAAAAGAGGTCCTGTGTTCTTAACTGTAATGGTGCAATAACTTGGGAGTTCAAGAGCACAGAGGAAATGGCATCTTGTAAGGTTTCCATTTGGCTCACTGTTTCTAGATGGAGTCTTTAATATTCCTGAAATGACTGGTGGACTCCCACCTGTCTTACAGTGGCAACTGTAAATTCTTTTCTTAATGTCTGCACTTGTGTTTTATAGTCTGTGGCCTGAAAAGTGACAAAGATTCTAGGCTAGTCCAATGTAAGTTGTGAATTAGCGTTGAAGCTTCTCATTTTCCACCATGTCCAAAACTCCCTTTTTTAATGAGTTTAAATTCCACCAGTTTTCTGTACTTTGGGACATTAATGCTACATTTTTATCCCAAGACAGACAGCCAGCCAGGGAAGACTTAAGATGTCTATTTATATACTCAAGTCTGATTAAGATGGTACAAACTCCCAAATGAAGATCAGGCAATGTCATTACAGAGACTAATCTGGTCACAAATCACAAGACGAAAGCTCTGCAAAGACACAATGGCTCCAATGGCATCCATGTGAGGGGAAAAAAAGACAAATTTTCATGTTTATTCCCCAAAACCAGTATTGTTAGGGTGCTCTACATGCAGTGGGAAGCTGGCAGACATATCTGTGAGAATCTGTTCGAATGGAAGTCTTTAAATATAGAATGATGATGACTTGAAACTGCTCTGGGCTGTGTTTTTGGTAATGGGAAAAGGAGAAGAATGTAGAAGTAAGTCAAAGAAGTCAGAAAATAACAGGTTTTGTAATGGGAACTAAACAAGACCATTTCCATGACTGCATGACAAGCAGCCCAGCAAGAGTCCCTCCCAGCTGGTGGGTCTATCACACTGGAGGATAAAGTTATTTGCTCACATGCCGGACCTGAAAATCACACCTCCCGTCTCTGCAGCTCCATCAGCTCTCCCAGCACCCTGAGAGCACAGGCCCCTCTGCTCCAGTGGGGTAAAACTACAAATGGAACTGAAGTATTCTTCCCAGGATTGACTGAAGTGACCTCATTAACGACACAGTTCTACTGAAAAGTGATTTTCCCAAGTGTTAGGCAGGTCATCATTAAAACTCTGAGCATATGACAGCCATTCCTGTATTTCCAGTACATTAATATTTCTAGCACTAAAGGACATGATGTTGTATGAAGTGTTGCACAGGTCAGGTGTTTGTTTTAACACGATTGCAACAGACCTGGAAGCACTAATGCTCTAGTATTTGTCACCTTCAGTCTTATCAGACAGCCTCTTACTCGGTCCCTTCT